ATAAGCTAGTGCTCTTATATTGTTTTCAAATATTTAACTAAATCTTATCGTCATTTAAGTATGTTTACACTGTTGAAATAAATTTGATAAGTTGCATTATATAAACAGAGTAATGTCACGTTTCAATAAATAGACTTTAGTTGCATCCATTAAGTTAATACGTGACTTAATTTTGAAAAAGTAAATTCAGACAATCACAATGAATATTTTTTAAATATAAAAAGTGGTAAAGGATACTCACCTACTTCTGTGTTGTCTGAAAATGGAAAAGAAAGTAAGTTTTTACGTTAGTATAAATACGGGACGACATTATGCATTTCTATTACGTTTTGTGATAAAATAACTATATCGCTAAATATGTAGCGAATGATGATTTATTTAGTTTTAAACAGTAAATTTAAAATAACTGGTAAATAGGTATATATGCCTACATGTAAAAAAATATATTCAAGAATTATAAGTTATACTTTTTAAGCTGAGTTAAAATATGAAATATAACTTTAATATATTATTAATCAATAATTCTATTTTAAAACTTCATGTCTTGTAGTCAGTACACCAAAAAGTCATGTGAATAAAAATCAATGTTATAAAATAGTTGATTTGAAATGGTTACCTTGTTCTTGAGAGTGGACTGAAAATTAATTAATGAATTTTAATTAATCGCTAGAGGAAATGAGGAAATTTAAAATTATTTTAAAGCAAAAAGCCTAGTAATTAATTCTACCTGACTTTGATTTAAAAGTAACACACTCTCTCTGTCTCTGTCTCTGTCTCTGTCTCTGTCTCTCTCTCTCTCTCTCTCTCTCTCTCTCTGTATATATATATATACATATATATATATATATATATATATATATATATATATATATATATATATATATATATATATATATATATATATATATATACTAGCTGCATACCTGTGCTCCGCCACGTTAAAACTTTTTTAAATGTACCAACTTGGGAACAGAGATTTAATGATTTGTTATACTATAGTGCTACACTTGCATATCCCCTTAAAGCAAATAAAGCAAAATGAATGAGCAGTTGACTGCATCATTATTTTTCTTTAAGGAGTGCTTATAAGGATTGTTTAAAAAAATTGGCGAAATTGTAATCTTCATGTATTTTTGGAAGGGTTTTAAGAGAGACATAGTTTAATAAATGAGAATTCAATACATTAAAATAACAGCGCCGACCACCATAAAATAGACCTTCCGACACATGAACAGCAATCTGAAAAAATCAAACACTGTACCGATCCACACCTAACTCAACATCATTCTCCTAGCAAAGGGGGCGGCAACCTTTTGATACGCAAGAGCCAAAAGTTACAATTTATAAATTTTCCCAGTTGTTAAAGAGCCACAACATTTTTAGTTCAATATTCGGTATTTGATTCAGAGTTTCTTCCATGCATCTCTTTGGGGGGGGGGGCAAAATCAGGGGGTGTCTCCCATTAGTCAGTCAGTCATCAACACGGCAAACGCCGACTAACTGGCTTGGATTTGGGCTTGAATAACTTGCATCGTTCGCTTCCTCCCTTTGGTTCTCACCAGGATTATCTTCCATCCTAACGCAGAGTAAAGTGGTACCCCACCGTCCAGTAAAAAATAAAATATATAACTATTAATATTTGTGCAAGGAGTTGGAGAGCCGCATCTGGACGTCAAAAGAGCCGCATGCAACTCGCGAGCCGCAGGTTGCCGACCCCTGTCCTAGCCACATCAACCCGCAAGCACCACTCGTACATCAATGTATTATCAAAACGGCTGCATCTATGATGTTTTTATATGGCGATATAGCAACCAAATCAGTAACTTATAAACATCTCTAAAATTTAATTTTGCATATCAAACAATATAGCATTTTAAAACATGGCGAAAAGCTCTAACTGATGTCTGTCAACTTTCTCTTCTCCCCTTCCCCGTGGTGTAATGTACACCAAACATGGACGAAATATACAAAAGTGCAAGAAACCCATCATGAGGAAAATCAAGAAATTTTGTGATTTTTGCCACGCATATCCCCTTAATATTTTCTTTACGTTATGCAAAAGAGAAAAAAACAGTGGCAACTATAAAATAATTTTATGTCGTTATATAAACAAACCCTAATCTATTACATATAATAAGACAATGCGATGCACTGAAAAACACTGCATGGTGCGATGTTTATTTTTATGGTTCCAAAATCTAGAGCGATGACGGAATGACTGACACACTGCCAGCCCGCTTATATTATAGATATATACTAGCTGCATACCCGTGCTCCGCCACGGTGAATCTTGTTTAAATGTACAAACTTTGGACCAAAACTAAACTAAACCCAAAAACACCCACAAACACAATGCAAACACTAAAGAAAAAACAAATGCAACACACAAACACAAAAGAAAAAACAAACGCAAATAAAAACACAAATGAAAACATCAACAAAATGTAAACAAAAACGAAAAAACAAACACAACACTCATAACATAACATAACTTAAATGCAAACATAAACGCATAGAGCTATCAGTTTAGGCCGTGGCGCCAAATCTCACCCAGTCCAAGCGCCGGCGGATGCGCCTATTTCACTGAATGACTATAAAAATCCCAGGTTGTCCGCAAAACGGAAATATTAATAATTAGTAAACAGTACGTTTAGTGTGTATATATATATATATATATATATATATATATATATATATATATATATATATATATATATATATATATTGCATGTGTATTAACGTAGCGACGTGAATTAAGTATTGAAAGATACATACCCTCACAGACTCGCCCAGCTAAACTGCTTTTGATCGAGTCCAGCGCATCAAAAGTCTCCGCCTTGAAGACATTGTTCTGGTTGCCTGCTATAGCCAACAGTTCCTGGTCCTTGGCCTTAGCGATGCCAACACTGATGATCTTAATGCCTTTGTCTCGCAGAGCTTTGGCTGCTTGTGATGCTATACAACATCACACAGACATATATAGTTGTATTTCATTTTGAACTTAACGTTACTTTATTCAAATGATCATATTCATTATGATGTCCTGAGACACTTTGTCTTGAGATAATTTGAAGTGATATTCTATTTTTAAGATATTTAGATAGAGATACAATGTTTTTTTTTTAATGTAGACAATAAACTTACTTGCAACTGTGTCTGCAGACTCGCCGTCTGTAAACACTATAGCCAACTTTGTGGCAATGTCACGACCCCCATTGGCAGAGGAGAACATATCCTCTCTGCTGATGAAGTTCAATGCACTGTGTGTGTTTGTCCCTCCCTTGTAGTACTTGGTGCTCAGTACAGCCTATTAAATATAACCAGTGTACATCATGCATTATGTTGGCTTGTTCTATTTTACCAAGACTTTTACAGTATGTTCATCAATTAATATATTTAAATTGAATGTTATATAACAAGTCACTAATTCTAAAAGAAGGATTATTTTATTTTATAATTTTTTTTTAATTTTATATCCATAAAAGTAAAGTATTTATAAATTGTATATCAAAACATAACTCCATATATATATATATATATATATATATATATATATATATATATATATATATATATATATATATATATATATATATATATATATACTAGCCATCGGTACCAGTTTCACGTGAATTATAGGCCTATATATTTTAAAATGTTGTACTTGTTTGTGAAAAATAATTTATGAAATAGTTATTGGTCAAAACGCAATGTGCTTTACTACACGCTGAACGATATTAGTGACAAAGCAAAGAAATAACTAATTAGCTAAAAAACATAACACAGGCACACACCGATTAAGTGACTTAAATGATTCCGTTAAAAATCTGGCTTTTCAATGGTCATTATGTTGTTTTTAAGTAATTTGTATTAGTTTGACCGATAAAATTGTATATATTACATAGCGTACGTCTCGATGAGTAGATCTATAGTTCTAGATCTAAATCAAATTTGAATGAGGTAGTCCCTTTCTTTATAGTCTAAAATCGGAAGATTCACATATACAAAATATAATTATGGCCTGAAAATATTACTGGAATAGATTCTAGAGTAGATAGAGTCTAAATCAAGATCTAGATCTAGGTATTAGCTTTTAAGTCTAGTCTTGTTTTGTGCGTAGATTATCTAGTCTAGATCTAGAATATCTAGATCTAGATCTAGAGATCTAGAATTTAAATACATAAAGTAAATTTTATAAGTTTAGGTCGAGAAAATTGTACTGTATAGATCTAGATTTCATAGCGTACGTAGATTTATCATATTTGAATGAAATAGTTCATTTCTTTATTTTTTTCGAAACTCGGAAGATGACGTCATTCGTTTCATGCTCTTTTCCTAGTGAAAACATTCAGCGACGTCATTGTTAAATGAGTTCTTGTAAAAAGTATAAACACTTTTCCGGTTACATATTTACATGGTCTTTTATATATTAGGATATATATATATATATATATATATATATATATATATATATATATATATATATATATATATATATATATATATATATATATATATATATATAATCTGTGTACAAAAGATCACCTTAGACAATGTGGCACGGTCCGAGTACGACCTGAGGTCAAACTGTTTGTAGACGCCATAGCTGAATGCCAGAGACCCGAACAGGAAGTCATTAGGCCCCACGGTGACACCTTCCGTCAGTTTGGAGATGAAATCCAGCAGTTTATTGTAGTTGTCCACCCCAATACTTGCAGACGAGTCGATGACAAGGATGACGTCAGCAGCCGCGGCTTTGCAGACGACTGGATTTTTTAAAAATTAAAGTTTTATCGAAAAGAATAAATTTTAAAATAAGTTATTAATTGTATTAATATTTTTTCAAAAATCGTGTGAAATAAAATACTTTGTGTAAATTAGAAATATCATAAAACCTTTATGAAGTTCTTGTAATTAAATTTTACTTAATCACACGATCCTTAAATTAAAGCATCGCTTTATTAGAGTCATTGCAAATTTACTGCATTTAGTAATAATACCTGCTGGTTTAGGCGCTGTGAAAAAAAAGAAAAAGAAAGTAAATGTAACATATATATATATATATATATAATATATATATATATATATGTAACATATATATACATATATATATATATATATACATATATATATATATATATATATATATATATATATATATATATATATATATATATATATATATATACATACATATATAATATTATATATGCATAATTTAAAATGCAGACTTCTGAGTTATTTATTTTAATAAATTGAAAAAACAATTTATGTATTTAATTAAAATTAAAAAGCAAATTAAAAAATTGCTAAAATAGTCACAAACCATCACGGATATTGTTGATGACTTTCTCTTTAATGATGTCCAGTTGGTCAATGGAGCTGGCCTTGATTATGTACTTCTCGTCCCCAGCCACGTTCAGGAGTTCATTGTCCTTAGCGTCAGGGAGTCCGATGGTGATGATGATGATGCCTTTCTGCCTAATCGCCTTAGCAACGGTTGCAACTAAACGCATCAAAACAAAAAAAAATATTTGATCGCTGATTAAATGCTATATAAATCTGTACAACTCTGTTATACATACATTGCTACACATGTTTTGCAGATAAGATAAAATAAGATAAAATAAATTATTAAAAGGGATTGTTGTTCAATTAGGTGTTACAAAATACTTCATCAAGCTATTGATTATTCCAATCAACCAATGTTGGATAACTATGTATTTAACTAATCCTATTTGTAGGCAGCAGAGTTGTATCCCCTTAACATATAGCTATTCAAGTATTCTGTGTTGGCCCGGGGATCGATTAAATTACTCTTGAAGTTTAACAAGACGTTGCATTCGATACCAATCTTTCATTAGGACAAAGCGAAAATTCCTAATGTGTTTAAATACACAATTGTTTTACATAAGATGTCATGAAGAATTAACCAAATATACATGTGCATAAATAGTTAACAAGTGAACTTCACATAGTTACGGTAGCACCAACGATGACAACATATACTGTCTTACATCCTGCAGGGTTCTGTAAGGGCCCATGGATAAGGACGACAAAAACTTTAGGAGCTGAAGGTCTCCCGCCATTCTTGGCATTAAATACGTCATTGGTGGTGATCAGATCATTCAACTTGGCGGGGTTGACGCCCCCTTTTTGGTAGGCGATTGAATTGATCGCCTGAAAAAGTAAAAAAAAAATCACGCAGGTTAAAACATGTTTTATCACCACAGGTGTTATATGTGTATTCAATATGTTACAATAGCACATGAAACAATTAGAACACAACATTTAAAAAATTCCGGTAGTGTAAGAATTAGGCCATAGTATATCACACATTAAATGTAAATTATGAAAAAAACAAAGGCAAATGAAGAAGGGTTGTAACATTTACAGCTTAATTAGAGATAGGTGCACGTATATATAACAGATTGGACAACCTCTGAGAGTGGCTTGTGTAGCACGTATGTCTTTAAGTCAAACGCCTTCTTGACATCATCACCATAGGAGACAGCCCCGAAGAGAGCGTTCTTCTCCCCCAGGATAAAGCTGTTGGTGATGTCGGAGTAAAATTTCTGCTGTTTCTTGAAGTTTGGTTCGGTGATAAACTTGGAGGACTCCGAGAGGAAAACAATATCAACCTCAGTCTCACCAACTGGTTTCTCTTTAGGGGCTGCAGGAAAACATTGAAAACATTACTTCACAATTTAGAACGTTAGTCTGTAGCTATTGCTTAATTAATGGCAACACTTACTTAACGCGTAAAACAAACTTTATAATCTAAGAGGAAATATTAATTGTTCTAACAGAGACATCTAAAATTTGCATATCTATATGAATGTTACAATATTATAATATAAATCTATCATTTTTACCCTGCTATTCTCCTATATTAAATTATTGCGGTTACACACTGGTAATATTTACGCATTACTGCTACTATAATATACTAGCCATCGGTACCCATTGCGCGTGAATTATAAGCCTATATATTTTAAAATCTACTTATTTGAGAAAAATAATTTATGAAATATTTATTAGATCAAAACGCAATGTGCTTTACTACAGGCTAAACTATATTAGTGACAAAGAAAAGAAATAACGAATTAGCTAAAAATCCGACACATTTAATATAACACAGGCACACACTTAATTAATTTTGTCCTCACCTTCTTTGATGCGGGTGATGACGGCGTTCTGTATTTTATCAAAGTCGTCTACCGACGGAGCTGCGATGATATTTTTGTTGTTTCCTGTCAGGGCGATCAGCTCCGTGTCTGTGCCTCCACTGACCCCCACAATGATCACGTGAATGCCCTTCTCCCTCAGCTTTTTGGCGCTCACACCTAGCTTCTTCACTGTGTAAACAGACGACATTCAAACCCGCAAAATGATTCAACCATTTGTTTGTAAACAGACGGACGAAATTCAAACCGCAAATGGATTCAACCATTTGTTTGTAAATTGACGATCAAACAACTACAACGTTTAGATAGAAGTATAATGAGATCAAATAAAAATAAAACATATCACTGTGTAAATAGAGAGAACTATTTATAATCAATTCGAACATTTATATTATGTAAATTTAAGTACATTCAAAAGTAACATTAACAAAATTATATAACACTGTATAAGTGTAGAAATGTACAAATATCACATTTACAAAATGAGTTACTTTGTATACAGAGATTCATTGTGGGAAAATATGGGAAATCAAATAACAAAACGATGTAGGGGTTGGAAGAATGATTATTCAAGTAGCGAGTAAACTTTAAGTGCTAACAATAGTTTATTTAAAAACTGTAATCTAACATCAAAAGGAAATGTGAAATATATATGGACTCACATGCTTCACTGTCATAGGTAATGCCGTATGTCACCAGTAGCAGTATCTTGTATGCGGTCGGCCTATTTCCTTGTGATTTGCTAAAGATGTCGTTCTCTAAAACAAAGTCCAACGCCTTGACCAAGGCTGTTCCATCTGAGTTCATATACTCTGCGTTTAAAATGGCCTAAAAATATTGTGTAAAATATATCAGAATTGTTAGAAGCTGTAATCAGAGTTTTCAAACAAGTCGTGGTATGCATTATGTTTATTGAATTACAAACTCTCAGTCAAACAAAACATATTATTGGCTGTTAAAATATATTTAGTTTTGAAAAAAATGTTATATTATCAATGTTCTTAAATCTAAAATTAAAATACATATATTTTTAATATTGTATTCTCTAAAATAAGTATTACCTAAATTGATTAGAAACTGCTGAAATAAAGTAAACAATTCTTGTTAAAAAATATCAAGGTGCTCAGACAAAAACCTTGTCAAAAAAAGATAATTTACCTCAGTCAAACCCTTATTTCTGCTGTAAGTGTTGAAGTCAAATATTTTCTTGGGCTCAGTGCCATACACGACTCCAGCGAACTGAGCAAAGTTGGGGCCGAGAACAAAACGTTCGGTCAGCTGTGAGAGGAAACTCAACTGTTTCTTGTAGTTGGTCTCGCCTATCCTCTTAGACGACTCGATGAGTAGCAAAATGTCTGACTGGGAGTTGTAGTCTACAAAACCACGCAAAGTGTACACATGTGAACACATACATGGAACACTATTACATATTTCATAACTACATTACGTAAATCAAAATTTGTAATTTAAAGTGATCTTATGTTTAAGAATCAAAATAACCTCTACTTTTCTTCTGTTTAAATAATTTATAATTAAAATAGTTCTCATTTGTATTTTCCATATGCGTCAAGTTAAATAATATTATGTATCATAAATTGCAAATTCGATACACTGTTTAACATTAATATTACAATACAATTTTAATTTAAAATATTAGTTTAATGAACTCAATGTTATCACTTGAATCACTAGCCAAAAAATGTAAAATCTAACAATACCTTCTCGTTTGGTAACTGAAAGAAGAGATAAAAAAAATATGTTATGCAAACAGGATGCGATTGTTCTGTTTTAGTTATCAGTTAGAACATTGCATAAGAGAAAGTACCACCATAGTAACACGTTAAATGATTACATGTATAATATTACAATTGTTGTTCTATCTTTTTTGTAATTCCATTTAATTTCAAACACATACGGAGTGTGTATTGTATTTTTAAAAATGCCTTCTTAAACTACTAAAATCGAGAAAAAATATTTTAAAATTACAGCCATAAAATACATACTAAAATTACACTAAACAAGAAACGGCTTCTAAAATTACAAATTCTTATCACAAGTTACCTTCCCTGACACGTCTGATCACCCACTTCTTCTGTGCGTCCAGCTCTAGCAGAGACTCCGCCGCAAAGATATTTTCTGGAACCTCTGATACAGCGGAAATCTGACTATCCTTGGAGCCAGAATAAGCCACCGTTAGGATGTGCACATCGCGGTCACGCAAATCTTTAGCAGCGGCTGAGGCTGAAAAATGTGAAAACAGCCGTTAAATTATGAACTCAAAACCTGAAGTATAAATAAGCTGATTGAACTAAATGTGTAATGTACGATAAAATTATTTATAGCTGATAATAACATTTCTAAAGACGCCACAGTCTACAAGCGAGTAAAACTTGTTTTATCAAGCTAGCCTTGGCCCAAATTTTAAAGGGCTTACACTCATCCGGGTTTTGATGGCTGCAGCCGTTGAAGAATATAACAATTTTTTCGGCGTCGTCTCTCCCTCCTGCAGATTTTCCAAAAAGATCGTTGGTGGTTATCAAATTGAAAGCTTTCTGTGGGCTGAATACAAGTGCTCTGGCGTTTCCGTTGATTGCAAGTATTGCCTGGAGAATATATTACAATATTCATAACTTCTGTTCATTTAAAAATAAATGTGTTGTCTTATTTTTTTAAAAGTAGGCTTCAATATAAACCTAGCATGTTAAGGTCTATAATATGATTAAAGTTATAGAAAAATTTAATACGCTAATACATGTTAGTTAAGTGAACGGATGACCTATAGGTAATCCCTTTAGAAAGTGAGTGTACGGCCATAACAGTGTCAACTACGTTTCCGTTATCAAATTTTTCTTTAAGTTCTGTTTCACACAGGGACCTTCTACCGACTTAAACCAGTTACTAATGACAAGATTTAGCAAAGCGCACTTGTGCTCAGCTAAATAATAACTTTATTGTATGCACATATTCTAGTAATGAAGTAATCCAACTGATAAGTTATACAGTCGAAGTAAAATAAGATAGATATTCTTTACTTGTATATCATTTATACACAGATTTGAAGATTTACATTTTTTGTAATTAAGTCGGATTGTTTTTGCATATAATCAAACTTTCGTTGCTTGTAAATACAGTTTAAGGAGTTAAAGAATTACCTTGGATAGCTCGGCATTATCGTTGTAGGTCTTCAAGTCAAAGACTTTGGAAGCTTCCTCCCCAGCGAGTATTGCCCCAAAGCGGACGTCGTCGTTTCCAATTCTGTACTTCTGGGAGAATTCCGAAATAAACTTCTGCACGGCCTTAAACAGGACGAGTCCATTTGCTCCGGAGTTGTCAAGCACAAAGAGTATATCGGCCTTGACGTCTTTCTCTAAGACACATTGTATACAGTTCAGAAAATGTTAGCCTTCAACATATTAAATATCGGCCTTGACGTCCTTTTCTAAAACACATTGTATACAGATGAGAATATGTTAGCCTTCAACATATTAAATAGGGAAATAATGAGAATAATTGACACACCGAACTATATAGGCATACATAAATCAATTAGACTATACATAACATACACATTTTTAAACTCTGGATGCTGGTCTTGGAAACAATCTACATTGAATACTTTATCGTTCTCGAAATCAGTATAATTCTTAACATTTAGTACAGTTCTACTAATTAGGCTTATATGGTTAGTTTTATTTCTCTAATACTTCCTGTGTTGTACATTTAATTTACCTTCTGTTAAACGTTTGACAACTGGCACTTTGATAGACTCGAGGTCGTCCGCTGTATTGGCCGTGAAGACGTTGCTCTCAATTCTAGCTACAGCTACCAGATCATCCTGAACGTAGCTACCCCAGGCGATAGCCAGCACATGGTAGCCCTTGATACGCAGGAGATTGGCGGATGCGGTGGCTTTAAATACAAATGGACAGATTTAATTCAACAATTATTTTTCAGTAACTTTCTAAGATATAAAATAGTTAATATGTGACTGACGATAGTTTGAAAACATTACTATCGTGATTCGTTTATGTTCTTTCAAAACTAGGTCGTTTTCTTCAATTAATGTTTTAACATTCGAAATTTGTTATTATAGAAATTTTACCTTGGTAATTGAAAAAAAAAAAAACAAGAGTCATACATAATTTTTTAACCTACTGGTTGTTTTCATCATATTTTGTTGTTTATTGTATAACGTTTTTTTTTCACTACGCTGTATTTTTTATTCTAGTGCTTTTGTTCATTACTCTGAAATTTATTGCAAGTTTAACTTAAAGCCATAAGAATAGGTAAACACTTGGTTCCGTATTGCGGAAACTCCGCTCAGTTCTGCACGACTAAAAACACCTGCAGCGGCGTCTTGGAACTTTCCTCCCGTGACGGTAATGACCAGCTTGGTAGCCGTCTCACGTCCGCCAAATACGGTGCCGAACAGGTCTTCTTTAAGGATGAGTTCGTACCCCTTGGACAGGTACAGCCCGCCTTTCTTGTACTTGATGGTAACTATAGCCTGTTATATATATATATATATATATATATATATATATATATATATATATATATATATATATATATATTTATATATATATATATATATATATTTATTTATATATATAAATTCAAATGACAAAAATCGTATTCTGTGTTGGCTGAAGTGTCACGTCTTTGGTAAAGGAAATGTCCTTTTTTGTAAGACATCGGTACAGACGGTCTGTCTGATTGATCGATTAGTCTTTAATCAGCGACGCATAATTTAAAAGTAATGACTATGACTAATTACCTGCGATAGAGCGTCATGTTTAGAGTGGGTATTTAAATCAAAGACTTTGACAGCGTCATCCCCAATGGTGACCACACCAAACCGGACGTCGCTTTCTCCAATGATAAACTTCTCCGAGATCTGGGCAACAAACTTGAGCTGCTTCTGCAGACTAGCTTCGCTACCGCTGGAGACATCTAACACAAACAGTACATCAGCCTCGGCTCCTTTCTCTGTGGACACATTGTATGAACATACGCGTTACATGCTTGTACTGATACAAGAACAATTTAGGATGAATAAAGTCAAACCTAAATTCGGTATCAAATATCCAAGGAATATACTGCGTTGTTCGGAATGTTAACAAGCTCAATGCTTTAAAAAAGTGTTTATTATAGTTTAACTTTAGGATCTAATATGAAAAGTCTTATTAATTAAATAAAGAAACTGTTTTACCTTCTTCCTCTTTCGGCACTGAAAACAAAATAAACAAGTAATTAAAAAAAGTCTAGTGACAATTTTAGCGCAATTTCCTTGTGTTATCTAAAAATAGCTCTGTCGTAGCGTAAATCAAGAGCAGGGTTAGTAAAACCATTGGTTAGTTATTAAAACGTTTTTTATTAAATAAACCTAACTACTAACTAAACTAAGCACCTTGAAATCAAGAGCAGGGTTATTAAAACCATTGGTTAGTTGAACTTGATTATCAACATGATAATCATTAAGATGATAGATCTCTACTTCCGGCATGTATATACAACCACACCACACGCGTCATCACGTTCAATAGATGCGTCATCGCGTTCCATGGCTGCGCCATCACGTTCAGTAGGCGCGCAAGTTAATTAAAAAAGTCTAGTGACATTTATGCGCAATTTCCTTATGTTATCTAAAAATAGCTCTGACGTATAATGATGGGGTGCGTTCAAGCTAGAAGAGCGATCGGTTTGTAGGTGTTTATGTAATTTTAAAATTTGTGACCGAACGAGAGGATATTTTTGAAAACTTTCTTCGGCAATATTGTTCTAAATTATGGCAGGAATCGATTGGTACATGTTTCAAGTCGCTAAGTGGTCTGGTTGCCGAGATATGGGCCAAAAACTGCATTTTTTCGAGGTTTTTTGGCTTTTACGGGAAATACATGAAAGAAACCCGGAATTTTTATGGCCTATGCTCATTCTCGTAACTTGCTTAACATAATTGCTTTTGGAACTAGTCATCGATATTGCTTCGTTGAGGAGGAGATACGACTTAAAGCCCGGACACACATTCATCCATTCATTCATTCATCCATCCATCCATTCCCAGAAATGACGAGTTAATAAACGCAATTCTCCAGAATGGAAATTGCGCTAAAAATAAGAATTTAATATAAATATTACTAGTTAAGTTTAAGTATAGGAGTTTAAAAAGTTGCTTTTTAGTAACATTGTTTTGTTTTAATTGGTTTATACGAATGAATTTAAAATCATTTATATATCCAATCGAATTTTAAAGAGATGGAAAAAGTACTAAAGTGACATGATAAGAAAACTAGTTTATCATTTTGTTGTACTGTGTTTTATGTGTTGTTGTGGTAAAGAAATGCTAGAAATGCTTGAAGTACGCTGTTGTTACAGTATAAGTCTAGCCTTAACCTCTGACCTTCACAAGTACGTGTGGTGACCTTGTTGAGGATACCGCTGAGGGCGTCATCAAAGTTGCTGGCCTCAAAGACGTTGTTGGGGTTGCCTGCCCAAATCTGGAGCTCCGACATGTTGGCGTTGACGATGCCGATACACATGATGTTCACACCTTTGTCCCGCAGCTTTTTAGCGGCGGCCGCAGCTGGGTATCGAGTGGAAACATGCGTTAATGAGTAGATTCAGATAGGGAAGATATTGTAAGCTGACAACTACACAAATGATAATACAGGAAAAAAACATTTTAATTGTCAGCCACAGCCCACTGTAAGCGCTATACAGCAGTCGATGCTTTTCGTATTTCTACTTCATTTCACTCTATATTATACCACACACACAGTGGCGTAGCCAGGATCGTCTCAAAGGGGGGTTCCAATTTTTACCCGGGGACAAACTTTCGATTTGCACCCCCCCTCTCTCAAACTTTCGATTTGCACCCCCCTTATACTTTTTATATATACCGAGGGGTCTATGGGGGGGGGGGGAGTTATGACCCCCCCTAACCCCCCCCCTGCCTACGCCACTGCACACACACGATCAATGCTTCTCCACTTTTAGATGGATACTAAATTTATTTACGTGTAATACGCCTATAGGGTAAGCTATAGGATAATTTCTTACTCTCTGCAGGTCTATCCGACTGACCATCTGTGACGACTAGAGCAATCTTTGTGGCCGTGTCCCTACCCCCAGCATTAGAACTGAACATGTCTTCAGATAGGACAAGATCGAAGGCGAGATTCGTGTAGGTTGACAAGTTGTGATACGGTGTTTTCATTACGGCCTAAAGAAGAACAAAATACAATACAATACATGTCCAACAAAATTCTAATTGCCAACAAAAGATAAACACAAGTGGTAGTTTTGCCTAATCATTATTCGTGTATTTTGTATTGGTAAAATTTAGGTAATATCAAATTATATAAAATATATTAGATATAAATAAATGCATCGTACTTTTAAAAAAAAAAAATTATTTTTTTAAAGTGATACTTTTAAAGATAAAAAGAACATAGTACGATACAATTTTCAAAGCACAACAAGTAGAAATTTGAATTAAACATCCGCTTTAACACAAAGATCAATTTTACCTTAGAGAGATCTGCGTGTGTTGTGTAAGAGCTCAGGTCGAACAACTTCTCGGCCTTCTTACTGTACACGATCTCCCCAAACAAAACATCCTTAGGGCCAACAACGAAGTTCTCGGTAAGTTTGGTCACAAATTCCAGCATCTTGGCGTACCTCTTGGGGCCGATACTACCAGACGAGTCTAGCACCAATACCACATCGGCTACTGCGTGACAGTTATCTGGTATCGCGACAACAAAATGATACTCGATTAGTAAGATGGCACTGCTACAACAAGAGTATTATCTCTTATTTGGTATAGGTTATTAGTCTGGAATCGCCGCAAGAGAGCAATACTCATTTAGTTCAATGATACCTTTACATAATAACAATACTCGATAAGTAAGATGGTATCCGTACAAGAAATATAATTTGATAGGTTGGCTAATATTGCTCAAGAAAGAAATACTCTATTATTTAACTTGTATAGCTAAAAATAAATCCTTGATAGTATATTTGTTTAATATTCGTTCGTAAAAAACGGTTATACTAACTACATAACTATCAGTGAATTAAAAGAAAACTGCGTATACCGATTCTGACATATAATACAATATGAAAGATAAAACTGATGTAGTACGTACTCGTAATTTCTATTTTTAAAGTACTTTAAACTTATCAATGTGTGCATAGTATCCTATCATTGGCCTACAAAATACTTGTAACTAAATACTGTCTACATCGTCAGCCTACAAAATACTTGTAACTAAATACTGTCTACATATCCTACCGTTAGCCAACAAAATACTTGTTACTAAATATTGTCTACATGTTAACCTACCGTCAGCCGACTGTGCCCCGTTGATAAACAAGACCACCAAGGCTACACAGTGTAACAGCAACATTTTCACGCGCTTCTGTTCCACTGAAATATTTAAACGGTTCATATCAATTAGAAATGTCTAAATGTATCAGCTAAAATGTACGCTATATCTAAGTACAAGATCAGCTGATAAAGTAATACAGTTCGTGAAACAATATTCACATTAACACCAAGCACATGCTATTATATAGCCTGGTAAAACAAAGTAATTAAATGTTTTGGGGGAATACAAGAAAACATGTATTACATTTCAAGATTAATAACTAGTAATTCAAACGGTAACCGCTATAGAAAAATCCAACCTGAATGTGAGGTTGTCGGGAACGACAACAGAAATCGCACCATTCATCTGAATTCAGCCTTTATATTACCGGATGAGTATGCCATCTATAAACAGCATCACAGGCTGTTAAACACGCGACAATACAAAGCTAATCGTGTTATACGTGTGATAAACATGTTGAAGCGTTCAGTAATTTGTGTTGGTCCAGCGGATTTTGTTCTTTTGATCTTTAGCAACAGGTCCAGCCTCGGTAGAATGCAAGGGAACTCACACGGACGCAACTTTGTTGTGTTGGAATACAACGTACTACAATCAGGTATATTATATACCGTATATATATATATATATATATATATATATATATATATATATATATATATATATATATATATATATGTGTGTGTGTGTGTGTGTGTAAATTTGACCCTGATAAATTACCTAATAGACTTACACATTCGGTAACAGTTTCATGTTTCTCACGTCCGAACGTTTATTACATTAGGTATGTGTGAGTTTTAAAAATAGTTGCGTGTGTATCCAACAAACAAGCAAACCTGGTGGCTCAAAACTACAGAGCAGATAGCGTTTTATTTTTAAATTTGGCTTTAATTTAAATCAGCTTGGAATTGTGTTGTCTACTAAAGACCTAAACGACAGTAATTTACGCGTTTTTTCAAAGGCTGAACACAAAAGAGTTGATGATACGTAATTAAAACTAAATTAGCTGTAACAAAACTAAATTTGAACAGAAGGGAGAGATCATTAAGAGATAATTAAAATGCTGACACTAAACTTTAAGCAACAGTTGTGTTTTATGTGTTAGGAAACTTCAAGCATTTTGTTTTTTGCCTAGTATTGTAAAACTTGGAGTTGATTGTGTATTGTTTATGGGGGAAAAAATTCCCAAAACATCTAGCTGATATTTCTAAACTATTGCTTTGCTAAGATTCATTAAAACAAATTGTATTTTACCGGCGACAAATATCTCTTGATTAGAAATATTTAGAACATAGTGTTTACACGTATTTAATTAGGGATGACTGCAGTTCAACAGTTTCAAATTAAATTCGACAGGTTGTGAAAACAAAAAGGTTGTGTTATAGGGCTGGAAAGTAGGTCACCAATAAGTTCTACGGCTCAATAAAACCTGCATGAGCCATACAACTGGTTGATGACCTACTTACCAGCCCTATTGTTTTTTCTAAAATACCAAGGGCTAGCTTGCACCTGTTGAGTAAAGTGACACGTCTTCTAACCATGTTCCTGTAACTAAACTGTTGAAGTGAAACTTTATATTAAGCTTGTATTTAAAAACATACACTATAAACTTAAATAGTTAAAATAGGATTATATTTCTTTACACGTATTATAATATTTAAATTCGGCCATTTTTATTGAAGTTTAAATCTTAAAGAGTTCTTTAAAATAATGTCGATATTAAATTGAATTTCCTTTATTGGTTTTTGTGAAATGATTTACACTGCTGAAATATTGTTTTTGTTGTGACTTATTTTTATGCTGCTTAGTAAGTCTTCTAATAAATTGTGGTTATTTTTACTTCTTGTTGATCTAATTTAAAAGATTGGGTTTATGGAACATTTTCCTTACTTTACCACTTACCTAAGTAAATTCACTTAAGATTAATTAAAATTGTTTATGAGGGCATATCTTAGCTAGATTGGGAACTGACTTAATAGACAATTCAATGAGAACAATGAAAGACAGTTCAATAACAAAATATTTATTCAATGTGATCATAAGTTATATGAAGACTTGTTCTTAACAACGTGCGAGAGATACTAGTAAAAAACAAAATGCTATGACAGTTTATAAATATTTTTATATCAATTAAAATCTAATAAGTCCTTAATTGTTTTGCTAATTGAGAAACTTAGAAATACGTTTATTTTTTCTATGACAACTATACCTACCAGTGTCATCTCTACGGTTTAGAAGTATGTAAATACTTTGTCGTTGGATATGTCAATTACATGTTTATCTAAACTTGATGCTCGGGGTTTGTTCGTTCGATTTCCGAGGCGCAACTTTACAAAAGTTGATCAGCCTATGAAAGCATGTATCTGTTTATTTTATGAATGTTTTAAAAGAGGTTGAAAAGTTCTAGATAATTCAATTTTTTTGTTTTTTTGAATATTGGTACACAATGGTCAACAAGATGGACACAGTACGCATTGGTTACGTGTACATGTTAAAACACACAATGAAACAAATTGTGAGGGAAAACATTTTATTTTGTACAATGCAGCCTTGTAGACTGTGAACTGTCATTTACCGTCCCTTGTATTTATATTTCTGAAATAGAAATTACGAAAAAAATTAATTGAAACTGTAGGATAAATTAAATTCAGAAACCAAATCAGTATCCTGTATGGCTTTCTTTGTCCTTGTAGCACAAAAACCTTGCAGTGTACAATAAACTGTAAACAGAAACCGGAGCCATAGCTTTAAGTTTACCACTAAGGCAATATGGGTTAAAAAATACAACAATTGAGCACCCAGGTACTCTGTAGGTCGATGAACCCCAATAAACCACCCAAGTGCTCTGTGTAAAAAAAACAATTGTGCACCCAGGTGCTCTGTTAGTCAATAAACCCCAATAAACCACCCAAGTTCTCTGTGTAAAAAAAACAATTGACCACCCAGGTGCTCTGCTGGTCAATAAACCCAAATGTCCACGAATGTGTTTCCCTTTCCACCAGGTGCGTATTTCTTTGTTTTTAACTGTTTTCTCTGTGTATTTACAAGAGGGGGAAATCGCTTTATAGTACATGTCGTATAGAGACTTTTTTTTTATCTTACTTCACTGTAGTAGATACAAAAAATGGCTATACATTTGGTGCAATAATTGCAACGCATTGATTTAAAATGCATGTAGTAATGCCACACATAATATCGTTATTTAATAACCCATGAGCTAATGCCACAAATTCCTATGTGATCAATGTGCATGTGGTAATGCCATATAAAATATATGTGTATATTGCTCATGTGCTAACGCCTTAGCCCGATATCTTCAAAAGCCGTTGAAAAGATGACTTTATTTCTTCAATTATTTTTATTTTAATGATCTTTAACAAAGGCAGAATGTTTCCATACTTCTAAATGTATCACAAGCTTGAACTTCTCCACTTCCTTTTTTTGGCGTTATGTGAACGTCCCTAAAACAGAGATTATATCTGTTTGTTTAATTTTGAGGTGAGCTCAATGAATTTTTTCCTTCTTAAAATTCCCTAGCTCGAAACATAACAATCTTTTCTTGCTTGTACCGTTTGTACCATGACAATGAACTAAAATTGTATCTGCTCTCAACTGTTTGATGTTGGAGCAATGTTCTTCTTACTTTTGCAGGCACTCTCCACGATCTTCTTCTTGATGAACTCGAGGGTGCTGTAGTCGTATGCCAGTACCACGTCATCAGACGTGCTGGCGACGGCGTACAGCTCTTCTGGGGAGACTTCCTGCCCCACCCCCACGGCAATCACCTCCGCCCCATCGTCTTTCAGCGCCTGGGCCTCGGCAACAGCTGAAATATAGGGAAACAGTAAAAAACCTGATGTTTACAAACATATGTATATATCGTGTCTTAAGTAATATTTCTATCACGAATCTTCACCATGCGTGACAAAATAGTATTTAGTTTTCCTTTTATTAGTTTATCCATATCTGCAAGATACAAATGTATTTAATGACCTAGGAGCATTCACAAATATATTCCAATAATAGCTCTCGATTTAGGTAAACATTATAGTTAGTTGTAAACACTATGAATACATGCATTTTTTGCTTTTTAATAATTATTACTTATATTTATACATGTATATGGCTACGAAAAACAATTTTATGAAAAGGCTTCAACATACACAAAAAAGTCTAAATTTCCTAATATAATTTTTTCCTAACATATTTTTGTCGTAAAAACAAATCAGCATTTAAGATATTCGGTAATTGTAATAGAAGTATACTGTTAAAATCTGATTGACAGACAATGTGTGTCCACTTACTTCTGTCTCGACTGGACGACACACCGTCTGTGATTAAGATGACCAGGTCTTTAGCGTCTGGCCTGCCGCCAGCGGAAGTGCCGAACATGTTGTTTTTACGTATGTAGTTCAAGGCTCTGTCGGTATTGGTCTGAGCATTTAGGTATTTAGCAGCTTTAAAAGCCTGGGGAATGCAAGAATGTTTACTGCTTTTGTTAAACCTCTTTTTTTTCACATCGAAAAACAAACGATTGCCTTTTATTTTGTTTTTAAATGGACTGTACTGATATATAAAGCTCATTTTCTTTTATTTCACGGCATTTGGTTTGTTTATGATTATATGAAGATAGTCTCAAGTTTATTACTGAATAACTGGTCATGGGTGTTTTTTTTTAGTTCATAGCTATAACTATTGTTAGTATCCCGACGTTTTAGTATCCACAATATACAGAATTACAAAAGGCAGAAGTTGATTGTACCTTTTCCATTCCGGCGCTGTCCGCGTAGGTCTTCAGGTCAAAGAGTTTAATGGCGCTGTAGCTGTAGGTCAGGGCAGCGAACCGGACATCGTTTGGACCAATGGTGAACTGCCTGGTCAGCTGGGAGACGAACTCCAGAAGCTTCTTCCAGTTGGCTTGACCGATGCTCTTGGACGAGTCCAGGACCAGGATGATGTCTGCTTGAGTGTTGGCTGGGCAGGGCGTGGGTCTTGGTGGGGTTCCAGTTGGTGCTGGAATGGGTGGACAAGAATTAGGTGCAGTACGCTTTTATAACATGATTTCTGAAGCTGTATTATTTGTGTTTGTAAACTAAACTATAAAGAAAAGAAAAATAATTTTTGCTTACGGGTTTGTGGTACACCTTGCGTTGTCGTGGGTTGCGTTGGTGGTTGTGTTGGTGGTTGTGTTGGTGGTTGTGTTGGTGGTTGTGTTGGTGGTTGTGTTGGTGGTTGTGTTGGTGGTTGTGTTGGTGGTGGTGTTGGTGGTTGTGTTGGTGGTTGTGTTGGAGGCTCCGTTGGTGCTTGTGTTGGTGGTTGTGTTGGTGGCTCCGTTGGTGGTTGTGTTGGTGGCTGCGTAGTTTCTTGAGGGGCCGACGTTTGTTCTGTTTGTTCTATAGGTAGGGATGGTTTAGTGGTTTCTTGAGGGGCCGACGTTTGTTCTGTTTGTTCTATAGGTAGGGATGGTTTAGTGGTTTCTTGTAAGACTGGTGTTTGTTCTGTTTGTTCTATAGGTAGGGATGGTTTAGTGGTTTCTTGTAAGACCGGCGTTTGTTCTGTTTGTTCTATGGGTAGGGATGGTTTAGTGGTTTCTTGAGGCGCCGGCGTTTGTTCTGTTTGTTCTATAGGTAGGGATGGTTTAGTGGTTTCTTGTAAGACCGGCGTTTGTTCTGTTTGTTCTATAGGTAGGGATGGTTTAGTGGTTTCTTGTAAGACTGGTGTTTGTTCTGTTTGTTCTATAGGTAGGGATGGTTTAGTGGTTTCTTGAGGGGCCGGCGTTTGTTCTGTTTGTTCTATAGGTAGGGATGGTTTAGTGGTTTCTTGTAAGACCGGCTTTTGTTCTATTTGTCCATTGACCTCAGTAGGTTTTTTTATATCCTCTATTTCAGAATAAATTGGTTCTGTAACTTCTGCAAATATTTGGCCTTCAGGAAAAAATAAAATAACCACCAGGTTAGGTTTATTAAATCATCAAGAAAGTAGCTTTATATTCTAAATATTACATTCAAGTATTATCTATTAAAACAAAACTATCTTAAAAAAAGAATTTAATGAAATGAATGAACTAACCGTCCGGCGCATCTGTAACTGTAGATAATAAAAACACGTTCGTGTACTCAAACATTAACACACAAGTCATATATATAGGCCTACTTCATTTATTTGTGTTTAAACTATTTTATTAATTTAAAGTTCCATAGAACACAAAGTTTAGTAATTATCTAGGTGTCAGATTTGGGATGTTGCTTGGTAGATTGTAGAATTATAGCTGTTTAGTAATTAATGTAATATTAATAGCAATATTTCTTATTTGCCGTATGATTTTAAGCTGAATAAGATTATAATGTTGTGATGTTCAGTCTGATCACGTTTCTTACCTTCGACATATTCTGAAAAAAAAGTACAATTCATAATATAAAAATGAAAAATAAATACATACAAATATATATAAAACACACACATCTGTGTATGTATTTAAGTAAATAAAATGTATAATACATGAAACAATATTTGTGATCATTGTTTTGACAATAAATTACAAAGATGAGTTTCTGGTTACCTTGATTTGATGTTCCCAGATTCCAGAAATCGTTAATCAGTTTCAGCTTAGCGTCTATGATGTTGCCGACTGTGAATGTCAACATTAAAATTTATACCAGCAACTATAAGAATCATGCAATACATATATTCTTACTGTGAGTTGGTTTAATAATCATGATAAATGAAAGCAGATTAGCAAAAATAAGTAAATTAATTTAAAAAAACATGATATTGTTGTGTTATATGACTTTCGAGACATCTTCTTTATAAAGGTTTATGAACTTAGGTTATCATCATGGTCATAGGTCTGTTTGTGATGGTCATGTAGCCAGGCCATCTTTGTCCATTGATTCTGTTTGTGATGGTCATGTAGCCAGGCCATCTTTGTCCATTGATTCTGTTTGTGATGGTCATGTAGCCAGGCCATCTTTGTCCATTGATTCGGTTTGTGATGGTCATGTAGCCAGGCCATCTTTGTTCATTGATTCTGTTTGTGATGGTCATGTAGCCAGGCCATCTTTGTCCATTGATTCGGTTTGTGATGGTCATGTAGCCAGGCCATCTTTGTTCATTGATTCTGTTTGTGATGGTCATGTAGCCAGGCCATCTTTGTCCATTGATTCGGTTTGTGATGGTCATGTAGCCAGGCCATCTTTGTTCATTGATTCTGTTTGTGATGGTCATGTAGCCAGGCCATCTTTGTCCATTGATTCGGTTTGTGATGGTCATGTAGCCAGGCCATCTTTGTTCATTGATTCTGTTTGTGATGGTCATTGTTCAGGTCATCTTTGTCCATTGATTCTGTTTGTGATGGTCATGTGGTCAGGTCATATTTGTTCATTGATCCATGTTAAAATAGCTTGCCCAACTAAGTTAAAGTATCCGTACTATCTATATATATATCAAAGTTAAAGTATCCGTACTATCTATATATATATCAAATATAAGTGCAAATATGATTTGGTTCAACTATAAGCTACTCACTTAAACCACATTCTCCTAGTTTCGTGGTCAACAGTAAAATAACAGAGACCGTACAATAATTCATTGTGAACTTCTTGGTCAGTATTGATCTAAAGATGAAATCAGTAGTATTACAGTATCATTTTTTTAAAAATACAGATTGAACATGAAAATATTAGATATGAATTACGCGGGTTGAAAAGCAATAGAAACAAACAAACAAACTGTCATAGCAGTCAGAAATTTAAAAAAATAGTATTCAACAGTCAAAGAACAGATAAAACAAAACCACATACATGAAAGGGTTAACAAACGGGAGTTTGAAAGTAGGGACAGACCAATCACAATGATTGATTTATTATCACGTTCACTTTTCAAACTCTATTTACATTCATCTGCAATACACATTTTAAATATACGCTTTCTTTCTTTAGTACAGTTTTTAGAGCTAAATATAATAACGTGGGACCCTTTAACTCTGTACAATGTTAAAATGCATATAAATGTTATAATGTGTTACCTATAGGGCCTAATATCGTTTTTTATTGAATACTTTAAAATATTCTCAAAACTGATTTTTAAAAATATATTTTGGTAAAGTTGGGTAGCACCACGTCAATAACACCAAGTCAATAATGTTTCAGCTACGTTTTGAACTTACGAAACGAACAAGTTTTGCAAAGTATTTTTAAATTTAAACTAAATTCAAACACCTGCGCACGGGGTCGATAATTTGATTAAGTTACAGTTGTTGTTAGTTAAAATACAAACAAGACGAGAACAATTCTAAAACAAATATAATAACTATTTATTCCTTTTGTTTAGCTGCTGCATAAACCTAAAAATCAACTAGCTGAAAAACCCAAGGGAGCTTTATTAACTCGACTGAAACGGATATTATGCTGAATCGTTCGCACTGTTCCCGAAAGCTGTGAGTCATGTGTTTGCTTATCAAAGACTGAAGTGGCTGATGAAATGTTAGCCCAAACAGGTGACGCCGTCAGCTAATTAAGTCAAAGTTAAGTGTTATTTACATATTATTTTAAACATACTTCGTCAATGTACTTAGACTCGAATCACACTGTTTTTGCGCTTTTGGTGATAACATTTTTGAGTTTAAAATGTAACTTAAATAAATGATTTACAAGTAAAGAATTTGCACAAAAAAAAATTGCTTTTGGCTATTACGTTTCAGTGTATATTCGTATGTGTATGTGTGTATGTTTCTGTGTGTGTGTTTTGTACAACCAGCTTGGACAAGCTAAGGGGTCACTCATCAAGTCATGTCTGTTAGATGGGGGTCAAATGTTATACACAATCTGTTAGTTGGGGGTCAAATGTTAAGCACTGTGTTTTAGAAAGAGGTCACATGATACACAATGTCTGTTAGATGGGGGTCATACATCACATAATGTCTGATAGATGGGGATCACACATCACACAATGTCTGTTAGCAGGGGGTCACGTATCACACGATATTTGGTAAACTTAAGCTACATGCAACAGCTCGTATGTGAAATAGATGACACAGGAAACACAAATTTAGTAAACATATGTTATATGCCACACAATATATGTAAAAAAAAACATGTACAATATTTGTTAAACAGATGTCAAATGTCAAACAGTATTTGTCAAACAGATGTAAAACAAAACATGTTGAATAGATGCCACGTGTCATACAAATACGTGTAGCCAGATGTCAAATTTCAAACGATACATGCCCAACATGTAATACAACTTATGATGCACATATGTAATATATCAAACATATGCTTGTAAACAGATGTCAAATGCAATACAATATATATTACACTGATTTCATATGTCCCACAATATATGGTTAACTGATGCCAAATGTCACACATTATCTGGTAAACATATGTCACATGTCACAAAGTAGTGATCAGCATATGTCACTTGGGTTCCATGACAAATGATCTCAGACAAAGTATCTCAGACAAAATATCTCACGGACAAATGACCTCAGGACAAATGATCTCAAGGACAAATGATCTCACGGGCAAAAGATACCAGGACAAAATATATCAGGACAAATGATATCATGGACAAAAGATCTCAGACAAAATATCTCATACTAAATATGTCACAACAAAATTTTGATAGTATGTAGAATGATTTTAGTTGATTTGAACTTTTTTTTTATTGACTGTCAATATGGTTTTGTTTACTTTTTTACGCATAATAATTGTGAATAAAATGAATTTGTTAAACATAACAAACCATCAAGAGATTTATTAAACTTATTCTTTGTAACAGCATTTGATTTGAAAAAATAAAAATTAAAACAAACTTACTCCCTTAGCCTAAAAGGTATGATAAATGATAATGTATAAAACAAAGTAACGGTAGCTATACAGCATTAATGTTCATAACACGCGAAATGTCTTTCAAAAATGTGAATGGGTCTTCAGGTTTCTAACTTAAAATTGTTTTTATTGCATCATCAACACAAACATAACGTTTACGTTTCTTTGCCGACGGTACATCGTTATGATCACACCTATTCGATAATATGTGATTATCTATTGTGTGAGCTCTTGCTCGACATGTTCCAACTTCACATTTTCCAAATATATTTGCCTGCTGCTCCACTTCTTTTATAAACATAAATTCACCAGAAACTTATGTCCTAAAACCTTTCTGCTGGGTAACAAAAGAGGCCATAGCTGAGTAATCACCACTAATACTGCTTGACAAACTTAGCTCTGCGATGACCGCTGTTTGTTTAAATAAGCATTATTCACCTGATCACAAAGGTCAATAAAAAATAATGTTCAGTAAACTAAAATCACCCAATCTATATACTACTAAAACTCAACTTTGTTTACATGTTTGAATATTTATTTGTTTGTCTGATTTCTTACTGTAAGGAAACTGCTCGATATGGGGGGCTGTAAAATAGTATGTAGGTAGAGAACAATTTTTTATTGCAGACAGACTGTTAATCACACATTTATTTAAAGACGTTAATTAATTTATTGATTTATTCATAGGTACATTAACCACATTTTTTAAAAAGTTTTAGAACATTGGCTTAATTTTGACTGAATAGTGACGTTTGATAACTCATTATTTTGTTGTTTTTTATTTATTTATTATTGGGGAGAATCTGCGTTATGTGTAGAGCTGTAAAATAGGATTTTGGGTGGTAAATATTGTTCTTTCTTGAACACACTGTTAATTTTTAACTAATTTAAAGCCGTTAATTAATTTATTGATATATTCATAGGTAGATTAACCACATTTATTATAAAAGTTTAGAACATTGACTATAGTAATAGTTAAAAGTCTTATTTTACAACAATTATATTTTCTTTGGGCCTGTATGTGAATGATAAGGTTGACTGTCAGGACCTCGCGAGGCATAGGGCAGGTGAAGTAGAGTTCACCTGTTTCTATGTTCTCAGCATATGAAGGGATAGTGTGGTCAGAGCCATACTCGGCCGGAATCGTTTTTTTTTTAAATACAAACATGTCTGAGACTTGGCGGGGCACTGGGCAGGTGAAGTAGAGTTTAGTAGAGTTTTAAAATTTAAAAAACGTCTTTTTGAATGTGGGGTCTGGTTATTTTGGGATGATAAGTGCTGGCAGACGTGATGTCATTTATGGATGACCCCCCCCCCCCCCCGAAACTCACAGTTATCTAACTAGATAACGGGTAGTCTAGTATACTATTAAAATTAAGTTGTGCGATATTTTGTCTGAGATATTTTGTCTGAGATCAATTGTCCATGGTATCATTTGTCCTAATATATTTTGTCCTGGTATCTTTTGTCCTTGAGATCATTTGTCCTTGAGATCATTTGTCCTGAGATCATTTGTCCTGAGATCATTTGTCCGTGAGATATTTTGTCTGAGATCATTTGTCCTGAGATCATTTGTCATGTCACCGTCACTTGTCACATATTATCTTGGAAGTAAATGTCAAACCTCACACAACATCTGGTAAATAGATCTGTTGCTTACAAATTGGGTTTATGCTTAGTATATAGAAGAAAATACACACACAATTGGCTAGGGGGGGGGGATTAAACTAGACTTATAACAATGGGTCGTAAACTTAGTAGATCAATACTGATATGAAATTCTACCATAAAAGAAATGCACGAAGCAAATGAACCATATCTAACAAGGCAAGAGAGTTTTAATCACGGCGACCGCGGTGATTTGGTTGAACGATTTTAAGTAATCACCCGCTGTTTCATGTTGACGTTTACAAGCTGTTTGTGAAAAGGTGTGATATGTTCTAGCCTACTTCACTCTATTGACTTATAAACGCGATAAAGTGAATGCTTTTTCATTTTAGTACCCGAAATTTCATATATAACTATAACATTTTATACTCGTATTGCTTTAATTTTTTTAAGTGACCTCCGATTTACAGAAGCGGTACTGGTTTTTAAAATACCGTTAACATGAGACAAGTTTAATACGTGAATGCAATTTCATTCATAGGTATAAGATCTATTTAACCTACGCTAATTTCGATTTCTCACAAAACAATAATAATTTATCCTGATACCACTGTCCGTCTAAGAGTCTACGTTCAAACTTAAGTACCTTGCGTCACTTTACAACTAATATGTCTGATAGCGGTATAGACACGTTTGTCTCAATTTTGGACGATTCACTCAGTGATTTTTTTTACTATATTTTTTACAATTAGACATTTAAATCATTTAAAAAACGTTTACCACATCAAGCACATAAACTTTAGTACTAATCAGTAAACAAAAAACGTTTAGAAACAATTTCGGTTGTCATGGAAATTCGAAAAAACTTCCACCAGTTTGAATTTTTTCGCATTTAAAGAAAAACTCAAAGACATTTTTATGCATGCACTTATAGCAATCAAATTTATTTTGTTTATATTTCATTATATATTAAATTTTGTCACGGTTTTAGTTGTAGAAATGCTATGACAGAAAAAAAAATTCAGCAGTCAAGAATCCTGCCTATAGCAGATCGATCAATAATTAAATGTAACTGCAGTTTAAAGGAGGTCTATGACAAAGTTGCTTTTGATATTGAAGAATTTTATCTGAGAAATACGTTAACATAATTAAGTGATAAAAGGGGGGGGGGAAGGTACGCATCACGAGGTACCCTCTGCCCATGTCCCATACTTTCGTAAAATAAGACACATACAAAATGGGACTTCCTTATCAACGACACAGCTGCTCAAATAACTGTATCTCTGTATGTGAGTAACACAGGAACTATCCTACATTATAACTATTAATCTCACATAAATACAAAGTGTATTTTAAAAATAAAGCACATCACATTTTATTTCATTTAAAGTATATTAATTCCATTTTGGAAATATATGTATATTGATACATTATGTAATTCACATTTATTAAAAATAGTTTAAATATGATAACATACTCGCCGTAAGTATTAATTAAATATTTAGTAATTGTAATTGTCCTTACTGATGATAAGGTTGTATACCGCAACTGAATCCTGCGTGATTCTGGCATTTAAATGTGAATCTAGCAGCTAATGCATTTTTCGTCAACGAAATCAACAGGTAAACAGTATAGAGTGATACTTAATTTAAAGTATCACTAAAAAACTGATCACACGCACTTCCAACGTTAAAATGTGTGTACCTTTAGGACTCGCACTTTACAACCCACGCATGTAGCCAAATGTGATCAGTTAACCCATAACAAGATAATGTTACAGATACCTAGGTCACGAGTTGGTTGTATAGAAATCTCTGGATCACATATTGCAAGGGGCGATTAAACCTACACGGGTTACTACTATACTGAGTTGACTTGTTAAAAAAAATAATTTAATAATAGTGTAACACATACCATGAGTTACCAGTCAAGGGAGATAGTTTACACTTATTTTGGTTGCGGCCCTTGTGGGCATGTTAAAAACAGTTCTTTATAGTGTGTCCATATAACGATATCAAGTGGGGAGACATGAATTATCTCCCTTACAACATATCTGCGTGAGAAGGTTTTAAACTTAGTGTCTCGTGTTATTCGATTAATTATGCTAAACACCTACACACTAAAACATCTGCCACCAAACAGTATTTAATTAGTGTCATAATTACCAATTCCAATACACTTTATTCTGATACAGAGTGATGACTATGTCAACAAACTGACACACTATACTAACACAACGGGTATTGAAGATATTTCAAACGTTTTAGTACACATATTTAGAAAAATATTAGTAGGATGCTGTTTAAAGCTCAACTCGACAAAATGCAAGGCATATGCATCATATATATATATATATATATATATATATATATATATATATATATATATATATATATATATATATATATATATATATATATATATATATATATATATATATATATATATATGTATATTAAGTTAAAGACAACTTACTCGTCTACACACAAGTCTCACTCTACGACTACCTCTCCAGCCAACCATGTGATATATTGAGGCCCTTAAAGCTGTTAAGGATAAACATCGCTCAACTGCCCATTAATGAGCAATTAAAAAACAATTAATTGACCGAGGACCATCCCTCAAATTGGCAAATCCCAGGTGTTGTTTTGGCAACATGACTGTGGTCTATGGGATAGTAATGACACCAGTGTGTGTGACAAGCTACCTCTATGCCAACATGTGTTGCCAATGGCGTGGGCTTGTGATAGGTAATGTATCCTGTTGATTTATTATCAATGTGACTGAGATAATTTAGTTTTAATTAAAATTTGTTTTTAACATCACTGAGACAAATTAATTCAGTTGTATTTGTTATTTTGAAATTTGTTTTTACAGTGAATGAGACTTTTCAATTCAATTGTTTTTAAATTCTTTAACTTGACTCGAAATTTATAAACCATTACAAAACATCGTTGATTTCCATTTACTTCTAGTTTGGGCATACATTTATGTGCATGTATTTATTTATGGCTCATGCGATCATGTGTAGTATATGTGGTTGTCATTGATATGAAACAGAGACGTGCTTCGTATTTAATCTGTTACAAAGAAGTACCAGACAGCTTCGTCAAAAGTTTTCACGTCAACAGCGACCCCATCCCTACCTGGAATTAAAGCTTCACGTGATAAAACCTGAATCATATTATTTTGGCAGAATAAAGAAGTTAAACACAAGTTCAAACCAATACAATAAATAAAGTTTTATTTGAATGACTTTCGGCCTTTGGCAACATTTAACACATAGTTCCCCACTGTACATGGTTACATAACAACCATGTATTAGTATATACCTGCAATACGTCAACGTGTACACATGATTTGATTTAAATTTAACTAATTCAAACGTACAATAAAGTGTTTTCAGAGTGACAAATTGTTATTAAAAAGTAAATATTGTCTGTTAAATATTGTTTTAGTTTTGTTTAAAGCTTACTTAAGACATAACATAAAACAGAATTGTTTGTGTTTAAATTTAGATTATTAAGATATTATTACACACATATTTAAGTTAATTACATACTCACGTATACTTGCATACAAGTTTTATGAATATAAGTTAAGTACCCTTTTGTAATCTAACGGTCAATGGCACAGGTGAAGAACGTTTCTTTGACATTTGCAAATGAAGGGATAAAGTGGTCAGCAATATGTTAAGAGACTTTCCTTAAGGTGAGTCAGGTACCCATCAAATATGTCAAGCCACCTTACTTTCCTTAAGGTGAATCAGGTACGCATCAAATACGCCAAGACACCTAATTTTATGACATTTAAGATTGTGACTTGGTTATGGATAATGCTTTGTAAATCCTCCAACTATACATACAGTTTTTTTAGTTAATTAAAAGGAATACGAGTATTATGATGTTGAATTATTTTAAATGTTTGTGCGATGATTTTAAAATAATACATTTACATGTTTTTATTTTACCCACGGAGCTTGTGGATTGTTAATTAACAATATCGTATAGTTAATTAGAGAAATACCTTATAGTTCGTCAACAATTATGAAAAAACGTAATATCCATTTAAAAAGTATTACATATTGAATTGATTAATCAACATCATATAATATCATCCTGTTTGGACAAGATTTGTAATACAACTCTTTGTAAAACAATATTTTCTCACAACACTGTACAAGTTGAGGGTATAACGCACTATTTAGGTTTTGTTTGAGCACATCGGCCTGTAATCAGAAACACAGCTACACGGATGATCAAATGAACGACTTCAAAGATGCCGAGCACAGAAATGCCGATCCACAAACCAAGAGTGCCTCCTATGTCAGAAAACAACTGGTAAATCTGTGAATAAAATAACATTCATTTTTGCCGTAGCACTTTAAAAACTATGTCAGAAAATAACTGGAACATCTGTGGATAAAATAACATTCATTTTTTGCCGTAGCACTTCAAACACTATGTCAAAAAATAACTGGTAATCTGTTGATAAAATAACATTCATTTTTAGCTCTCCAAACATAGTGTTGCGACATTTGTTTTCGTAAACACAGAGGTTTATCCAGTGGCGGAACTAGAAAAAAAGGGCCACCCCGGAAATTTTTTTTTCTAGGCCCCCCCCCGCTATATATATATATATATATATATATATATATATATATATATATATATATATATATATATATATATATATATATAAACACATAATGCAAACATTGGATACTCATTTCTGGCTTGATCGGGTTTTGAAAAAAAAAATCTTTTTTTTTCAATTTAAACAAATTACATGTCATGTGTGCGAGTGCATTAGTCTGTTTTGAATTTTTGTTTTTATATATTTTTTTTTCTTTCTTTTTTTTTCGCCTCAGACACGTAATTTATAGCGTCAGTTGTGTGTTCGCTTTAGTATTACAGTTTACATCATCGGCTTGTGAGGACTGATACAGATTTACAATAGTAATATTTCTTTCTTACTTGTAGCCTGCTTTCATTCATTTAAGATGGTTTACTTATACATAGATCTAATACAAAACGTCTAAATATAAAGAAAAAATAAAAATTAAAAACCAACTTGAAACTGAAAATGCAAATGTGTAATTAAATGATGATTCAAGGGATTTTTTTTTTTCTCGGCGTGCGTGGTGGTATGGGGGGACGGGGACGGGGGGTGGTGGAATTTGGGTTTTGTTTTTAGATTTTTTTTTTGTTTTTTTTCTTTGCATTTTTTAATAAGTTAAAACACCATACATGAATAACATGATCTAAAGCCTAATCATTTTCTTGCAAAACTGACATCAAGTCATAAGATCATGGTTCGTCCAAGTCATGATTTTGACTAGGTAGTTTAATTCTGGACTATCTAACAAGATTGTAAGTTTAATGTCTTTCAATATCAGAAGTGGGTTAAAATTTGGTTTAATTTGACTACAAACCCACCTGCGACCATTGCGATCTGTCAAGTGATAAAAAGCAAATGCTATTGGTTCAGCTTATCTAACAGTGTTTGAATATTATTAGCCCCCTTACTGAGAAACGTGAATTGTTACACATGAAAATTTCAATCTGTTCAGCCACTGGGTCTTCCACGTTTTAAAATTACAAGTGTTGCATAAAATTACATGCACACTGAAAATTTCTATCCAAACATCGAGTCATGTAGATTGCTTAATTCAAATTGTCTCTGTTTTGTCGGGCCTTATGTTTTTTTATATTCTTCATACTGTGGGTCATCTGTTGGATATTCCTGACGACACATGGGGCAAGAATTCACTTTTCCTAGCCACGGCAATATACAGGCACAGTGAAATTGATGGTTACATGGGAGAATTTTAGTTTCATCATCTTCATCAAATTCCATCAAACAGACAGGACACTTTATTCCTTGTGCTGCTACAGTTGGTGTGACTGAATGGGTGGGAAGTTTATCAACAAATTCCTTGGAAGCTGGTGGCGCTCTTCCATCACTTCCAAAAAACCTATTGAACTCTATATCCCATTCTCCAGCAAGCCCAGTGTCTAGCAGAAGTCTAGCTAAATGAAGTGCATGATTAGGTGTTTGTCCTTCTTCTAATGGCTGACAATTATGTTCATCAAAATAAGATGCCATTATCCTTTGATATGTCTGTGTCCTAAACTTAATCACTGTCCATGAATGTATTATTATTTAGTCCTACCTAGTATTTTACTAAAAATGCTGATTTAGTGATTTAGATTTTTTTTCTTTCTTTTTAGAACTATTTTATTTATTATGTTTGCCTACCCTCTAGTGCAGGGGTTCCCAACCCCGTGCCCGCGGGCGCCATGGCGCCCGCCGAATGATTCGTATGTGACCGCCTCTCACTATTCGACTATTCGACAGAGACAGAATTGTTTTCATAAACATTACTGAAAGGTTGAAGGGGATTGAAATCGAAAGTTTGAGGGGGGGGGGGGGGGGTGCAAATAAAAAATTGCCTATATTTCACACTACAGCTTAGGCATATATATTTTTTTACGCAACATCAAGTGTTAGGTACTGTGTAACATCCCTAATGTTAATGTAGTAGATCTGTTTAATATTTACAAAAGCTTTTGTCGTCAAGTCAAGAATGCAAAAAAAAATATTTTTTTTAACAATAAAAAATTTAATATTGTCGGCTCTGGGCCCCTAGATGGCGTGCCCCCCCCCCCCCCCCCCCGCATTGCGGGGTCTGGCGGCACTGTAGTTCCGCCCCTGGGTTTATCCGTATATAACTTAAACTACATGGACTAATTACGAACGCTTTATTATTTAGTCATAGAAGATATAGAATAAGTATCTATTTATGAACAGTTATTTTGAACTTACTTTTAATTATATTAACCGTTAACACAATATACGTGTTTTCATGGATATTTAATTTTAGAAATATAGGTAACACTGTGAGCAAAAAATGATCCTTATAAAAATATTTTTCTTAATCTAGATTTCATTCAGCACATAAAAAAAGTCATTGCTAAAATATAATTGATATGTGTGTACCTCATAGTCCGCTTTCTCCACGATCACCTGATGGTTCAAGTCTTGATAAAAAATATTCAGCTTTACAAACTCTTGGCTGCATTGAAATATACACACACATATATATATATATATATATATATATATATATATATATATATATGGTGACAGGACAAATGATCTCAGGACAAATGATCTCAGACAAAATATCTCAGACAAAATATCTCACGGACAAATGATCTCAAGACAAATGATCCCAGGACAAATGATCTCAAGGACAAATGATCTCACGGACAAAAGATACCAGGACAAAATATATCAGGACAAATGATACCACGGACAATTGATCTCAGACAAAATATCTCAGACAAAATATCTTACAGCAAAATTTTAATAGTGTATTGGATGATTTTAGTTGATCTGAACATGTTTTTATTGACTGTCATATGGTATTGTTTACCACATTTAATATTGTTTATAGGCCTATATAATTTTAAGAAATGTTTGCAGCATAAATTTGCCATATTGCACTAATCATTTAAAATTAGGATTACTAATATAGTATGTGAAGATTAAAGAAATTACTCGATAGACAACGTAGGTGAGCTTGGCAAATATGAGACAATCCTACCATGTCAGGTGGACGAAACTAGATCTTAGGGAATGAAATGACAAAAAGACACACCTTCGTATCAAGGTGGCCGCTCGCTTTGATGGCAGAGACATGCCTTAAGGGAAAGACATCCACCCTCCATGAACAATACAACTAACATCTTAAGTCCATTGTTATGCGTTGATCACAGTTAAGTGATCAGGTGACAAATGCTTATTTAAACAAACAGCGGTCATCGCGGAGCTAAGTTTGTCGTAGGGTGCATCAAACAAAGCAGTATTAGTGGTGATTACTAAGCTATGGCCTAATTCGTTGCCTAGCAGAAAGGTTTTAGGACATTAGTTTCTGGTGAATTAATGTTTATTAAAGTCATACTTGGAGAGATTTGGAAATGTGAAGTTAGAACATGTCGAGCAAGAGTTCACACAATACATGATCACATAGTATTGGAGAGGTGTGATCATAACAACGTACCTGCCGGTATAGAAACGTAAGCGTTTCGTTTGTGTTGATGATGCAATAAAAACAATAGTTTAACGTTACGAACCTAAAGACCCATTCACATTTTTGAAAAATATTTCGCGTGTTTTGAACATAAATGTTGTATAGCTACCGTTACTTTTTTTTTTATACATTATCATTCATTACACCTTTCAGGGGTAAGCTTGTTTTAATTATAACTTTTTCAAGTCAAATGCTATTAGAAAGATTAAGTTTAATACATTTTTTGATGCTTTGTTAATTTTAACAAATTCACTTTATTCACAATTATGATGCGTAAAAAAGTAAAGAAAACCATATTGACAGTTAATAAAACAAACAGTTCAAGTCAACAAAATTCATCGTACACACTATTAAAATTTTGCTGTGAGATATTTTGTCTGAGATATTTTGTCTGAGATCATTTGTCCATGGTATCATTTGTCCTGATATATTTTGTCCTGGTATCTTTTGTCCGTGAGATGAATTGTGCTTGAGATCATTTGTCCTGAGATCATTTGTCCTGAGATCATTTGTCCGTGATATATTTTGTCTGAGATATTTTGTCTGAGATCATTTGTCCTGAGATCATTTGTCATGGAACCATATATATATATATATATATATATATATATATATATATACATATTATATGCTGCATTAAAGATAAGTTTCTTTCAGGTTTTAAAAAAAAATGTGTTTAACACATTCTCCGCTACATTATGTTACTTCAGATTGAAGCTAAACTATTAACACATTGTCGATAATTGATGGTGATAACTGACACTTACATTAATTTTTCACCGGCAAATCCACAAGTTAAGTTTTTCACATGGCATATCGGAATAGAGAATACAGTCTGAAATATTGCAGTAAGCTTAGATGACAAACAACTAAATAGAGAATATAACATTGCAATCAAATAAAATGGAGAATATATAACACATCGGAGGATGGCAAACTTTTGAAAAAAAAAAAAAAAGGTGACTATGTGTGTCTCGAATCCGTACCACACGCATAGTATCAATTACACTATCATCACATCTATTTAAGCACCTTATATTTTGTAACAGAGGGAGAGAAGTGCACACATAGGCTTTTTACAAGCTTTTATTTAACTCACTTCCTCGTCAGTCGTCAGTCGTCATTCGTCATTCGTCATTCGTCATTCGTCATTCGTCAGTCTGTCTAGATCGAAACGGCCGAGTGAAATTGCAGGCACTTCCAACTGACAGATACGGTTCGTAGTTGGTACGTAGGTCAAGACATGAAGACAATGCATCGTGACATTCAATTTGACTTAATTGGTCGCCTAATTAATTGTTTATGAAATAATTAAAATTTTGAACAAATTAGTAGGCAGTCTTATCCACACGCGTCATCACGGCAATAGAGCGTCAACACCTTCAATAGGTGCGCAATGGTTTTTAGTCAAGTAACTCTATTGTAAATAAAAACATGCAAAGTACTAAAAAAAATCATAAAAACGTTTTAATAATAAGCTTTTCTGTAAAAATGCACAAAAATGATAACATAAATTATACAATACTATTTAAATAACTATAATGAACAGCTTGATTATCTTCCTAAATATTAGTAAAGGTATCCAATAGATGTTAAAGTAAATCACGTTCGATTATGCGTAGAACGCCACCATTTTTGTAAATCTACATTTATAATTGTTTCCCCGATTTAAATAAGTCCCCTATACTCATATAAGAAGATTTTCACTCGCGGTCATTTTTAGCCCTCATCGAGGGCTAAGAATCTGACCGACAGCTTTTCCATACCACCTAGCCATTTACCGAGGTGCATGCAAAAAATTAACCAGATTAACAGAGTTTAAGTATCCTAATATCTGTGTTTAAATTACCCTCTGTTTTTTTTACATAAATTACAAAGATTATAAAGAGAAATACGACAAGTCAGTTTTGACAACTTTACAAATTTTTCACAGATATGGCGAGTTTTTTTTCAGAAATCCAAAGGCGTTTTTCTACGATCTCATAAAATATCAAGGTGGGGGGGGGGGGGGGGGGGGGTTTGGAAAAAGTTTTTTTCGGTGTATAGCTCATATTAGGTGCCGTCTGCCTAACAATAATCGGCTTTTAAAAATCCGTATGTAGAGACATTACCATTTACATTTACTGAACATCGCTGAAAAGTTGATCGAAAGCTAAAAATTTTATTTAATAATTATATATTAAATTTAGTAAATATAACTGTAACGTTACTCAAGTTACCGTGTCTATAGACACGGGCAAGGTTTCAAAAAGTAAGATTTTCCCGACACCGAAAGGTTGTACATAAAAAAAAAATGTGTCTAAATCAATATTTATATTTTTTAAGGATTACAATACATCCTTTATACTCGGTAGAGAAATGTACAGCGGTGAAAACTGTCCAAATTTCATTTAATGTTTTTGGAATATAACATTACTTTCTCTACACTCTGATAGTAAGTAAAATAATAATAATAAATACACAATAAACACTTGCACAGTAATTAAGTTATCAAGCTTAATTTAATACTGTTAGCTCACAAGACTCGAGTTGGAATCAGGGGTTCGATTATGTAGGAAGTAAATGAGACCACTCAGCTCTGATGGGTACCTGACTCAAGCGTTGAAAATTTGCAACGAATATCAGGATGGAGAGAATCTAAAAAAATATCAAGCTATGCCTTACAATTACAACTTACTGCATATTCTGCTGTTGGCCATTTGGTTGATGAGATAACTTCTTGATACAGCGTCTCTCTATTAGGTGACATATTGGCGTATATATATATATATATATATATATATATATATATATATATATATATATATATATATATATATATATATACATATATATATATATATATATATATATATATATATATATATATATATATATATATATATCGTACATATAATATATAATATATAAATGTAATTTATTTATTTACTTATTTATCTATGTGTGTGTGTGTATGTGTGTGTATGTTTCAGTACTAAATACTTGAATTTAAGCTCCTGAACAAAATTGTTTTACCAACATCAGAGGCGTCGCTAGGCCGAAGCGCGGACCGCATCGGATGACACCATTTAGGGGGGGGGGGGGGTACACAAAAAAAATGTGAAACATATATAAAAGGAATATGCTTTTTGCCAGTTCAATGAATGGTTAATAAGAGTATTTTTGGTACAAACTTACGATCGAGACAAGGGCGGGGGAGGGGGCATGACACCATGACATAAACCTGCTAACTGAAGAGAACATAGTGCTTCATCCAGCTATATTAATAATCAACTACAGATAAACCTCTTACTATTATCTGTGTACCCTTCAAAGCTATCATATATATATATATATATATATATATATATATATATATATATATATATATATATATATATATATATATATATATTTATATATATATATATATATATATATATATATATATATATATATACATTTTCCTTTGGTGGAAAGGCGTGATTGGGGGGAGGGGGGAATGACACCATGAGTTACCGAACCGGGTGACACCCGACCTAGCGACGACACTGACCAACATATCGTACATTGTTACATTAATTTGCACCTACTTGCAAGGGTTTTTACAATCGCATTGTGACGTATCTCGTTCAAAATGTTTTGTTCTTACGCAATCTGTTTCTGAAAATGTGTGAAAAGAAAATAAGTTATAAAAGTATTATGCATAGTTCATGTGAGCAGGCATTTTAATTGAACTATAGGTCATTAAATGCTTAGTCTCTATCTTTCACTTTCTCTCTCTTTATACATATATATATATATATATATATATATATATATATATATATATATATATATATATATATATATATATATATATATGTCTGTGTGTGTCTGTGAGTGTATGTGTGTTTGAATAATGTGTATACATATGCTAGGGGATATTCAACACGATAACTGACGATTTAATGTATAACCTATATTTCTTGTGCATCTTTTTTTTTTCTTTTTAAAAGAAAAATATAAGTATTATAACAGTGAAACATTGTTGGATCGTATCTTGGGAGTGTGTGGGTGAGATTGCATCAGAGAGAGACAGTAGCTGTGCGCATGCGTGAGAGGAAGTGGAGAGAAGAAGGCAAGAACATGGCGTAGCTTGGCTGAACACACCGTCTATGTGAGGACAAAATAAATATATATAAAACGTATAAGAAGGCTTGTCTTGTGATTTCGTATGTGATAGATAAAGGTAGGAGAAAGGCCTGTGGCAAGTTTATATCGTGAACCCAGTCACACAAAAACCCTGTGACAAGTATGATGTTAATAAATGTAACATGTGGACGTCCAAAATGACACGGACCCCACCCCCCCCCCTCAGTTCACACGCGTCCACAAAAGTCGGATCCCCGCCCCCCATGTGATGACTCCTAATGGTAAGAAGCTTTTTCTTTAGAAGTCTATCAGTTTCTTTTGACTATGTAAATACCCAGCACTTACTGTTGTTTCTGCAATGTGTATCGTTATCCGTCTTCAAAACGTTCTGAATTTCTCTGTTTGCATTACTGGAACAGTTGCACTCATCGCGGATACGGTTATACTCACAGATACTCTGACAAGTCTAGACAAGTTCATGTCCACAAAAATACATTTTTATATTAATTACAAGCAATACATTTATGTTTCTTTCCGTTTCTAAAGAGCATAAATTCCATGATCAAATATGCGATATCAAGTACAACTTACGTATAACGTGTAAGCAAAGTTGTAAATCTGGTTGTAGTCGTCATTAGAGCAGTTGTCGTATTTGGTAGGTAGCCGTGTTACATTAACCTAATCACTCAATAGAAAATAAATCTACCTCTAATAGAAACATAAGAGAAACGACACGATATTTCTATAATGAGTACATAAATGTAAATCGTCTAATCGAACAATTCTTATGAAATACTCAAATCCCATAGACTACTATATTACTTTCAATACCACAATCTATCCCAACCCATAGATTATTCGATCCCTTTTCATACAATAATCATTCCAACCCCATTATATAATCAATGGAATTCCATAAATTATTCAATCTGAAAGCAATAATAATCACCTACAAAACACTGTGAATTTAATACGATGAAAGCATACAGTGCAGTTTAACATAATCCATGCTTCATATTAATTAAATAATAATTTAAAGTTACGGCCGCTAATTTATTTGTTTTTTTTTAATAGGAACAATTTTGTTTAATGAAATGTTCCACATATTGCAATGTGTTTTAATAGGTTATATAATTTTCACTGGACATACGACATACAATCCATACTAATTACGAGTTACCTGTTTGATGCCAATAAATGTGTTAGTGCCAGGCATCACACTGAGTCCATTTTCATCTGGAAATGGCAGTGAGTTTGGTTCGTGGACCACCACCCTGATTCCGTTGTTGGTGGTAAAGTAAGGCACGTACTCTTCCGTTTCTAGGTGTAAGACTAGTTCTAAGCCTTTACAAAAATGAGAAATACTTTTCTAATAATTGCTTTTTAAATTTAAATACAGATTACATCTAATTATAGACACCAGTTAATTGATTTATTTTTTATTATTCTTTGTTTTTTTATTAAATGCCCTACTTTTCTCTGTAGAGAAGCGTGTATTTTTAACATTATATATATATATATATATATATATATATATATATATATATATATATATATATACATATACATATGACGTATATCGCAAATCTAGTGTGAGGGTGTAGGAAGTTTATATCCTATGTATATATAATCTCCACGGGGATCGCATTTTTTATGTACGGCTGGTACAGTTTAGTAAAATCTAACACAAGTCCAATTCAATATATTCTATAATATTTCTTTATTCAACACAAATCAATCTCCTACTCCTACCCGAACTATGTCCCAAGATCTGTCTACTAACACTAACTACAACTACACTTCCATGTAACTTATAACACTACATTTAATTTCAACTTCTACGTCTTTCCCCTAGCGCTCCCTCTGTCTAACTGCTACCTAACTCTACATATCTCTGATCGTTCTCTACCGCAACCTATCTCTGACTGCTGTCCCACGGCTCACTGGTCATCTGACCGTCTCACGTGACCGGTCATCTCCTGTTTTTCTATTGGTCTACCTTACTACGCTATGCTATGTTTCTGCTATCTTTTACTTGACGTCACATCTAGCATAACTATGTTATTCAGGAAAAATATGTATGAAGCCACTCACAAACAAATGAATTACGATATTAAACTAACTCACTGAGTCTAGTAAAATGTAGGGCCTACATACCGCCAGAGGGGCCGCTTGTACGCGAAATAAATTTTTCGTGCTGCAGTGTGTAGCAGTTTCCATAATTGTTTGAGTAAAAGTGGGTAAAATTTCTGGGAGATTAAAGGCACATTAAATGAAACATTTTTATATAGATTGAATGAAGTATTTTTCTAAAGAGTCAATGAAACATTATATTTATCCATTAAAATGTGATTATGTATCTACATTTTTTTAGTAAGTTTAAGAAACTATGTTAAGCCTTTAAACATTAAATTAAAGTTAGATAATGCAGGAATTCACGAGTAAATAAAAGAAAACTTTACACACAAATTAGTACAATAATCACTGTGGTTTGTTAAACCAGTAAGCACAATATAATCAGAAAAGCTATTGCTTTAAAGGAAACCAACAGAAACTTAGTTAGAAAAAACACAACTTACTCGGGGTAACATTTTCCACCCGCGAACGAACACTCTAAAAGCATGTCTTTTATTTGGTGTCCCATTTCTTGAAGCGTACCTCTAACATATTAATAGCAAGAGATTTTAAACATTGTAATAAATGTTGCTGTTATTAAAAGAAGCTGTTTTGTTTTTGATTTGCTTACACGTTTATTGTAAATGAAACTCTTAGTTTATATATATATATATATATATATATATATATATATATATATATATATATATATATATATATATATATATATATATATAATGCACACACGCATACCCTTCACTATGTAAATATTCAAACGCATTTACATAGATACACATACGTAAATTGCATCATTTGTTTATTGAATACAAACATTTTGATAATGGTTATGATTTTTGTCAACTTTTCCTCATGATTTAAACGTTTTATGGAAGACAAACTTACTCAGTTAACTCCAGAAAATATTCTTTAAACATTTTTGTGACATTGTCGAAGTCTGACTCCTGGCTCTCTTTCTCCCAGGTGATCTCGTAGTAGTGCTTCTATAACGAACAGGAAGATAGACAACATTAATTCATCATATCAGACAACTTAATCATGTGTTCGTGTTTTAGTTTACCGGCACTACGGATGTTAATATTGTATTTAGTATGATCTAAAAGTATATCATTTACGTATTTCAAATAGTAGGCTAATAAAAGCATACAGTGTTACATAACATAACAGAAAAAGTAATATTTTGTTTTATTTTTGTGTGTGGTTAACGACGATAATGATATTTTATTCAGTAAAATTTAAGAGTAGGCCCTACTTCATTGTTGTATTTAAATACTGGGGTCATAAATAATCTAATAACAATAATACACAATTCGCAATTAGAAGCGCAATATTATATCAGCATACGATGTAAGGGAAACAACTTCTTAATTATCTATCGGCCCATTGATAAAGTTAACTAATGAATACGATTCTTCAACTACTCAATAAAACAGTTACATGTTAATTAAAATGCAATTGCGATAAAAAAAAAAGATCTATTATATTAAAAATTTAGTTCTAGTCATTGTGCAAAAACAAATAATGGACATGTCCTTAACTGGAGCTCCAAATTCAACTGTAAAGAATTAGTTTATCATGTGCATGGGAATAGTGTTTTACTTTTTCATACAAATGATATACGTCTTACCTCCTCATCCCAATACCGAGAATCATATTGATAGTCATAGTAGTTATAGTCAGGCGGAGGTACTGTCGCTACTCTTTCTTGTATTTCAGTGAGAAGTACATGCAAACACGAACTAACGTCAATACTGAAAAAACAAACAGAGATTACTAGTTAGAGTTAAGTTTTAGATTGTGTGTAAGATATTACAGGTTTGAACGATTTGGTAAGTTTCCTATTATATTAGCAGAAAATTTCATTTTTAGCTTACATTTGGGTTCAGTTCTTGCGTTTATAGCGGTTTGTTTATATTCCGGAAATATATAACCCTACATTCCGACGCTAAAAAAGCAAGTCTTTTATTATTGCTTCTGAATTTAGGGGTCGGCGTGGTCGAGTCGGTAAAGCTCATGGTTGCTAAACCGAAAAGTCTCGAGTTCGAACTCCAAAATTAAATAACTGCTGCCTTGTAGTTTGTTCTTGGTTGGACAAAGGCTATGAAAGCAAATCCAAAACGAAAAGCAGGCTGAAATCGGAGTCAATGGCCTGAATGGCGTATAACCAGTTGACAAGCAATCATTAATTGTGATGAAAGCATGGTCGAGTCGGCAAAGCTCATGGTTGATAAATTAAAAAAAAAGTCTCGAGTTCAAACCCTAAGGCAGATAAGACTCGATCGCTCCCAACACTAAAAGATTAAGAACGAAGAAAAAGAAGAAGTTTCTGAATTTGAACTTCCGCTAATCTATTTGTAGTTTGTTATCTACACATAACCTAAAGTTTGAAAAATGGAATTATCTGCGCTGAAAATGCACTTTTTATTGAAAATTCACTAATAAATTATTAGTATATGGCACATTCAAAGAAATAGATTAACTAAGATTTTGAAAGTGGGGTGATGTGCCATGTTAGTTTGATGATAAAATTTAAATAGCCACTTTTATGTTGGAGCGTAGTTTTCCAAATTACACTGACAATTTAGGTTACAGTATGATTGATCAAAACAAATAATTTTTTTGTATTATTTAACAGCTAAATAGAAACAAAAATTTACATGTAAAGTTTGGGATACACTGGGATTGAAATAAGATAGGACAGAGTATAAAGTAGATTTCGGTATAGTTGTAGTGTTGTAGCATTGTTTCTATTTAGTCTGTTAATACTTTTGCACAACTGTGAAATGGGTTGCTTATTATTGCACCTCTTATTTTAAATATCCAGAAGAACATGTTTTTATTGACATCTTACACCTTCGATTTCTTAAGTAACTGATATTTTGGCAATTGTATTTTATCATCCGACACATCAGCTAAGAGCGTTAATGCTTTATATTCATGTTTTACCAAACGTATGTTGCTTTTTTAAATTAAAAAAAAAGTCGTATAAATATACTAATGAAACCGGTGAAGGCAGTACAATTAACAAGGCGATAAAATAATTACATGTATAGCATTGGATATTGATGGTCGATGAACCGGAATAAAAACCATATCTCTTTTTTTTAATGATACTAATATTTTAATGGCCGGGACGGCGCCTGACTAGAACGGCTTGTGTATAAGTATAAACTCCTATTTATTCGATGAGGCTACACGGAGTGTTATGCTCTAGGAAATTCTATAGTATGTGCGGTTTTATTTTCGTTAATTACCCATATCCAGTTGAACACACAAGAGCTACACAAAAGAGAATAGAGAAGGAATATGTGAAAGTTTGACACACAACACAAATTAAGTGTACCATAACAAAAAAATAAATGTTTACTTGGTCAAGGGATGGCAGGAATTCACCGATAATATCATGTTATCGGGTTTCAGGGCCTCTACTAATGTTTTAAGCGGACCCGTGCTGTTCTTTAACTGAAGGAAAAAACACATTTATTGTTTAGCATGGTGTGACCTACTTAGGTCCAGTAATGTTTTATTTTGACATTGTATAATACCTTATATGGATTGATGGTGCAACTACCGGGGTTTTTCCACTGTCTTATTAAGGGTGTCTAAGACTAAGAAATTTTCCATCAAGATCTGATTGATTGATTTGGATCAGATGACTACCCCATAGCTCAGTGGCTAGGATCTCGGCGCGCCACGGCGGCGGCCGAGGTTCGAATACTCGGTGAGAAACTGAGTATAGTCTATGGTGTCTAGTGGTCTAGTGGCTTAGAAACTCGGCTTGCTGCCGAGTAGTGTGGCACAGTGGTTAGGAACACCACTAGTGGCCTAGTGGTTAGAACCACATAAGTGTCACACAATAGGAAACACAACCAGCACGAGAACAGTAGCTCAAGTAGCCTTGAGTGATCTGTGAGTCTCCATAGAGACTTGTCCGCGCAGGCAGTCTACCTTGATCAAACGGTCCATTAAGACCAGGCCGTCCATTTTGTCCGGCAATAGATTCTGACCATTTGAACGTGAGAGAACTTAAGTCCTGAGTGTGCTATGCTTTCTTAAGTTGTTTTAGTCTTCTAGTATAATATTACTTGTCGCCAAGTGATTCTTTGAAGCTATAGCAGTGTTGTGTGACCTGTGGCTATTTTTATACAGTGTTAAAATCGGTGATAGTATTTTTTCTTACGCTTTGTAAGTTGGGTTTTGTTATTTTCTAAATTAAATATTTTATCTCGTTTAACCTAGTGTTCTGCCACAACTGTGTTCGCTTATTAAAGGTTGTATGCAGATTGGATTAGTGTTACCTTCAATAGTATCACTAGTTTTCCCTAGACATCAAAATCGAGCCCTAGTGTGTTGTTGTGTTAGTGTTCATTCATTTAGGCTGTAAGTCATTTGCATATAACCCCAAAAAAAGAATCCGGGGACGTTCACCATCTATCTGGCTGGTAGATAGGTAAACGTTACAATGGAAACACACTTTTATTCCTTAATTTCAAATGCATAAGGAATAACCTAAAACTAAATATAACCAGGAAACTAATATGTATACTATTGCTCTATTACTACTTTAACATAGTTTAGTTGTATCCCCTGTAACCATGATAATTCATTATAGATTGCCATAGTTAAAACATAATAGCACAAGTCTGAAAAAAATCAGTATATATATATATATATATATATATATATATATATATATATATATATATATATATATATATATATATATATATATAAAAACTCCTTTACTAAAGCATCATTATTGCTAAAATTTAAGTAATGCTTCATTTTCTCGTAAGCCTAATAATTAAATTTTAAGTAATGCTTCATTTTAACGTAAGCCTAATAATTAAAATTTAAGTAATGCTTCATTTTATCGTAAGCCTAATAATTAAATTTTAAGTAATGCGTCATTTCATTGTAAGCCTAATAATTAAAATTTTACAGAATAATGTATACATCTACGGGATCGTTTAAAAAAAAATAAAGTGTTCTGCAGTGAAACAAATATTTTAAAAACTGCTTAATGATGTCTATTGATTGATTGGCAGGATGGTGCATTACTCATAATTAGTCATGTGTAATTCCTAGCTCAGATATTTTGCTTTTAGATCATCAATTTTATTCTGAGGATGTGTGATGCTATATTTAAACCTAAAATCTTAGATTTAAATCTTACTTCAAAATATTTATTCAGATCATTTGTCTTGACACATTTTGTCACTGTAGTTTAAATTCAAATCCTTACTTCCGAATTGTTCTTTAGATCATTAGTGTAGAGACAGTTTGTAATAGTATTGTTTAACTTCAAAACTTTATTTCCAAAACTTCCAAAAATGTGCTTCATTTGTTTTGTCCAATTGTAATAGTTTATTTTGTCTTACAGATCAACCCCTTTCATTATTTCCATTATAAGATTAAAGATTTTCCATTATTTCTATTATAAGATTAAAGATTTTCTATTATTTCTATTATAAGATTAAAGATTTTCTATTATTTCTATTATAAGATTAAAGATTTTCCATTATTTCTATTATAAGATTAAAGATTTTCCATTATTTCTATTATAAGATTAAAGATTTTCTATTTTTTCTATTATAAGTTTAAAGATTTTCCATTATTTCCATTATAAGATTAAAGATTTTCCATTATTTCTATTATAAGATTAAAGATTTTTCATTATTTCTATTATAAGATTAAAGATTTTCCATTATTTCTATTATAAGATTAAAGATTTTCTATTCTATTATACGATTAAAGATTTTCCATTATTTCTATTCTAAGATTAAAGATATTCCATTATTTCCATTATAAGATTAAAGATTTTCCATTATTTCTATTATAAGATTAAAGATTTTCTATTATTTCTATTATAAGATTAAAGATTTTCCATTATTTCCATTATAAGATTAAAGTTTTTTCATTATTTCTATTATAAGATTAAAGATTTTCTATTATTTCTTTTATAAGATTAAAGAGTTTCCATTATTTCTATTATACGATTAAAGAATTTCTATTATTTCTATTATAAGATTAAAGATTTTCCATTGTTTCCATTAAAAAATTAAAGATTTTCCATTATTTCTATTATACGATTAAAGATTTTCCATTATTTCTATTATACGATTAAAGATTTTCCACTATTTCTATTATAAGATTAAAGATTTTCCATTATTTCTATTATAAGATTAAAGATTTTCCATTATTTCTATTATAAGATTAAAGATTTTCTATTATTTTTTATTATAAGATTAAAGATTTTCCATTATTTCCATTATAAGATTAAAGATTTTCCATTATTTCTATTATAAGATTAAAGATTTTCCATTACTTCCATTATAAGATTAAAGATTTTCCATTATTTCCATTATAAGAGTAAAGATTTTCCATTATTTCTATTATAAGATTAAAGATTTTCTATTATTTCTTTTATAAGATTAAAGATTTTCCATTATTTCTATTATAAGCTTAAAGATTTTCTATTATTTCTATTATAAGATTAAAGATTTTCCATTATTTCTATTATAAGATTAAAGATTTTTCATTATTTTTATTATAAGATTAAAGATTTTCCATTATTTCTATTATAAGATTAAAGATTTTCCATTATTTCTATTATAAGATTAAATACCACATACCTGGGAAAGTCTCGCGATGTTGAAGTTGCATATTGTCACTGCTGGGAAAGGGAGGGAACTGAACTTAATATCAACTTTTGAAATCTTTTTTTCTTCAAGATACTTTCCGAAGATACTGGAATAAGAAAAAAAAATATAAAAGTGTATGTGTAATCATTGTTTTCAATCTGTTTCTACATATATAGTATATATATATATATATATGTATATATACATATATATATATATATATATATATATATATATATATATATATATATATATATATATATATATATATAAGTATAGTAGTTAATGAGTTTAGAATTGTTATATAATAATAATCTATATGGAACTGGAAACAATAAAAAATCTAGATGGATTCTTTGTCATTGATTCTACAGTGTTATTAGCAAACTAGCCATCGGTACCCGTTACACGGTCTATTCTGCTGACTTTTAGCTCTCTTCTCTTTATGAAAGGCTACCCGGTTTTTCTATTATATATTTATCTTCTGGTAGCGGCATTTAAAACTGTCCGCAGGGGGGGGGGGGATAGCGGATACTGTTTTTTCTATATTTTTGTATTAATTACTTTTTCAATTTCGTTCGGAGGTGAAAGGGGAAGAAACCGTAGAGATGCATAAAGAAAATGTATATATCTACGGAAAGTGAGTAATGAAATGAATTGTAATTCAGCTTTTAAAAAAAATCATTACATGTGCATGCACTGACTAAACTGTGATCAAGTAAAAAAAAAAATCATAAAAAACGTTTTAATAACAAGCTTTTACGTACTAATGCACTAAAAAGTAGAAAATAAATTATATACTACTATTTAAATAACTATAAAGAAAAGCGTGGGTCACTTTAGCATCTATTAGATACCTTTACTAATGTTTAGGAAGAGACCCACGCTTTTTTTTATAGTTATTTAAATAGTAATCTATAATTTATTTTCGACTTTTTAGTGCATTAGTACATAAAAGCTTGTTATTAAAACGTTTTTTATAAACATTTATTTCAGTACTTTACATGTTTTTATTTACAATAGAGTTTCATGACTAAAAACCGTTGTGCGCCTATTGAACGTGATGAAGCGCTATTGAACGTGATGACGCGTGTGATGTGGTTGGATAGAAATGCCTACTAATTTGGTCAAAATTTTAATTTTTAATTTCAAATTGCATTGTCTTCATGTCTTGACCCACGTGCCAACTGTGAATCGTATCTGTTTAGTAGAAGTGTCCGAATTTCGATCGAGCGTTTCGATCAAGACTGACGACTGACGACAGACTGACGACTGACGACAGAAGAAGTGAAGTAAATAAAAGCTTGTAATAAAAAAGACAAATTACATAAAACAGCGGTTGTTAAAATAAAATATGTCACAATACGTCGATTTAAAATAAAACTCACTTTGATAAGTTCCAACCCAGAGCCCCAAAGGCCGCTATCATTAAAATCGCCCACGCAACTTTTGAAAGATAAGACTTGGACCGAACAATGTATGGTGGCCCGTTCATGGAAGTTATATCTGCAAATTTTGCAATGATATATGAAAGACCTTGAATTTTCGGCCTAACTTTTTTCTTCTGCTTTTTGGCCGAACCTTCATCGTGGGTAATCTCCCTTTGGTCGGGCTGTACCGTTTCGGCATCCTGGAAAAAAAAGTAAATAAATCGGGAGTGATCTCCCCAAAACTTTCTTCTAGGCATTGTTAGGTGTACATGGTCAGTTGGGTTGGATGGAGTGTATCGAGGTATTAGCGGAGTAAGGTGTGGTGTGTTTTATGTGAAAAAGCGAGATGGTCGTGAATTGAGGATTTCAATGGGAGGGATATTTTGTAGTGTGATTCGTTGTGTTATATATATATATATATATATATATATATATATATATATATATATATATATATATATACATATATATATATATATATATATATATATATATATATATATATATATATATATATATATATATATATATATATATATATATATATATATATATATATACATATATATATATATATATATACATATATATATATATATATAAGCCATATATAACCATGCAGGTAAGGAGTACTCACGATGTTAACGTATGTTGTTGGACTTTCCTGGCTGTAAGGATCTGAAAAGTGCCCATGTGAGTTGTAGTCGTACCCCACAATGTAGGGACGCCTGTAGCTTTCTGCCCTGTCAGGCTCTGCCTTCGATGCCCGACGTCCCACGGAAGATTGGGCATCACTGTCAAAGCCCAGCACATGTGGGCGTGGCAGTTGCTCGGCAGTGTCACGTGATGTTGTCTTTGAGCGGTCGCCAATGTCCATGCCGTAATAGACGTATTTTGCGTTGTTATCATATTCCGAGGAGTACGATCTTCTATTGTGCGCCATTGTGTTGAGTTTTAGTTGCAGAGTTGCTGTTTGTTTTTACTATGGTCATACGAGTGTGACGTACCTACATACAAAGATGAACACTCAATAGCTTCAAACTAGTGCATTAAAAGGTATAGTTGAAGCACACAACACACATTAACATTAAAATATATTTTATGTTATGTTCTGTTTCAAAATGTTCACTTCTGTGTTCAACGTTAAATCAACAGGGCGCAAAGTTTCTTTCAGTGATATCTTCGTGGGGGGAGGGGGGAAGGAGGGGACGGCCCCAGGAAGCATATCTACAACATTCCCCTCCACCCCCACCCCCCAACCCCACCCAATTTAATAAAATTGATCTACAAGATATATACTTTAACCACTACCCTACCAACCCCCCTGAAGTCCACTCTAACCCAAAAGTTTCAAGTTTCAAATCTACGCACTCAAAATTTATCATCGATTCGTCATATTTAATTAAACAGACGGTATCAAGTTCGTTTAATTATCTCTCAACACTGTTAACTCATCCTATGACACATTTTACGTCCTAAAATTAAAGGATCGGATGGATCAGATTTCTCTCTACGCCACAGGTACCAGACATGCCGTCACGCTTCGCTTCACGGCTTTGTGCAAGAATGAACAGCAACCTGCTACGTGTGTTACAACACCAGTGCTGATATACCGGCCAAATACTTCCTGCACTTATATGTAGAGCAACACATCAACACGTCTGGTGCGTCGATATGTATTCATGCGTTATAACACCAACACACCCTGAGTAGGACGTATGATTATTTTAAGCTGTCTTTGTATCGTATAATTTATTTGACGCACGATTTGTTTTAAAACGTATTTAAGCGAAGACTTGAGCTTTTGTATTAAATACATGTATTTCATAATCAGACGTGTTGAACTCCAAATCATATCGGAAGGAGACGGTATTTTATGAAGATATAGAGTGATTTGCACATCAGCCCATACAGCCGTTAACGAGAGTCAAGTGCCCATTAGAGCTTTGTGGACTGAAGGGTGTCTTACTGACTCAAGCTTTTTAATTCAAAAATCTAACGATCTACCAATTGACCACCGCCCCTCCTATCCTGATTTCATATCTTGAATGTCAGTATTATATCCTCATACATGTTATCAGGATATGCTATCCTATTTATAGTGCACTCACCTTTATCACCGAAAGACACAGCCTAATACGATGTAGTCACAAGTTTGACACAAACCCAACCTTAAGTCGCAAGCTCTTGTACATCAACACGTTTTCGGTATTAGTGCATCACATTTCTCGCTCCATATTCACCACTCTAGTAGACAATGGTTAGAAAACGTTGATCAATTTAACCCCACAGGCGTGGGACGTTGTGTATGCGCTGACTCTCTGATGGCTGCTTATTTTCTAAAAATAAGATCAAGTCTCTTTTGTATTTTTACAGCCTGCTACTGAACCGCCGGCTTTATTATTCTAGCTTAGCAGTGTGTTTCATTTTGGGTATTCTAGAACTACTCAATTAGCATACGTCGTCTCTACACACGAAGTTTTATGCCAAAATTATAATAGCTACTCAACTGATTTTGTTTTTGAACACACATCTACAGCAACAACAAAAAAACTGAAACTCTGTAATACAAAAATTAAAAAAAAACCTCTCAGCATTTAGTATTTTAAATACCTGATTATATAACACCGCATGAAACACATGAACACAATTGACACAATATCGCAGGAAATATCACTAGACTTACCTTGATATCATATTTGACTTATAAGGACATAATGTGGCGTATGACGATATAACAGGAGATTATACATTAATCACGAAAACGTATCAAAACATCTTACCATGTCAGAATATCTATCGAATCTTTTAGGAAATTACATAACACTTATCACGACATATCTCTATATTTATATGGCATAAACTAATCCCATAATCAAAGCATGGGTGATTTTACACGTCATCGTCACATGCTAGCTAAAGCGTTTGCAAACCGAAATACCCCCTGAGGTGCCCGAGTTAACCATGCATGGCGCCATTGACATGCATTTCAGCAAAGCGCAGTTAGTTGTGATTTGATTTTAAACGGCACATGCAGTTAAACGACAATTGAACCAAATGGTGTTAGGCGTTAATTAACCGGTAGAATAAAAATGGTACATATTTAATTAAGCTGCTAATATTGATTAATTTACGTCACCAAATTCGTTTGCTAGTGTCATTGATCGATGCTGTAACAACAGTTGTGATTTAATATTTCATGCACTGTCAATTATATGAATAAAGCGATACGGATCGCTGGCTATGCATATGGCATGCTTGAAAATTTTATTTGAAACATGAGACGTCTGCATATCGTGTGCGACACTGCACACTCTAATGGCTTCATCGTTCCCAACCCTGGAGGTAATCTTGTCTATAGAAAGATTTAAAGTTGGAATCGGAACTTATAAAAACAGACGGACAAAAAACCAGACAGGCATACAGAGACACGCTGAGAGACATAATTAGGACAGGGGACACACTAACACAATATAGATATAGACAGAAAGACAGCTTTTAACAGTGACACATCTCTCCGGGAACGACATTACCCCTCATCCCCCCCCCCCCCAAGCACGTCCACTCAACCAGTCAGTGTTCAACCATGGAAGTGCCTCATCCAACCCTCAATACCCCCTCTCCCCACACACACTTCTGAGTAACACAAAGCCTGTGTGAAGTCTTATACACTTGTCATGACATGTCAGAACTTAATAAGCGCTTTCAAGATTTTATTCATCCATTCATACAACTATACTATAATTTGGTAAACATTTTCTTTTCAGTATATACTTTGATTACGTTGAGCGCGTTATTTTTAATGTTTGTTTATAATTCGTTAGGATGGTAATTTTTATAAAAGATGATTATGTTGCAGAGGCGTAGCGAGGGGGGGGGGGGCACAAATGTCCCCAGACGCCGACCTTAGGGGCGCCAAAATGGGTTTGAAAAATAAATTGAAAGTTTGAGGGGGGGGGGGGTGTAAATCGAAAGTTTGTCCCCGGGCGCCGGGAAGGGTCGCTACGCCTCTGTAAAATATGTTGTTGACAGTTCAGCATCGTCCATTGTAGCATTATGTACGAGCGGCGTACCTATTTTAACCCAATCAAAGTGCTCGTTCCAAGCATATCATTGAGGCCTTCTTCGTCTGGAAACTGTATGATGCCTTGCTCGTGGATCACAATCCTGAAGTCCTTGGTTCTTGTGATGACAGGGATATCCTCGTCTGTTTCCATGAATAAAGTCGGGTCAAGCCCTCTAAAATGTTCAACAAGCATTGATTTATGTAGTGATTAAAAGATTAGCCAATTTATTATTGATTACTTAGTAACACAAAGGAATAATGAACTACAATTTTAGATTGTGTTAATTTATATAATACATACATCTTTAAAATATTAATTTAACTCCGTCTTTTCAAATGCTTATTAAATGTATTTATAAAACAATAATTGATTATTGTATATTATCCGTACATATGATTCTATGCTGAATTAGTTTAATCAAGTTGCGTTCATTATATCTATGGAGCTGTTGTTATAATATATTTTGTTGCTGCAGCTTTTAAATACTCACCACCAGAGGGTCCACTTTTACGGTTAATAAATGTCTCGTATTGTAGTGTGTAGCAGTTCCCATCTGTGTTTCTTCCAGACTTTTCGGGGGGGGGGGGACACTGTTAAAAGTATATATTTTCTGTATAAATTATATAAATTTCATTTCGTTCGGGGGGGGGGGGGGCGGTAAAAAAATTTCAGAAGAGATGCCTGGAAGAAACTCTGGTTCCCATAGCTATCAGTGATAACGTGTGTAAAGTTCCTGAAACACTGCTTTAGATATATTTGATCAATCTTTACATAATGCATTCGTCATATTTCAAAAGATTCGTTTAGATATGTTCCAACATAATGTCTGAGTAAATATGTAGATAACTGGAATAGGTTTTCCTTGTTTAGTGGCTTGTCTAAGGCCATAAACTACCGGTGATTTGGTTTTGTTGTTATAAAATTAATATTTATAAGCATTAATTTATTTTCAATACGATACAATAATGTACTTTGTTTCCAGCTAGATACAATATAACAAAGGAGTAATTCTTACCGAAGTTTACGAAAACATAAAATACTCAGGTAAGTTTTTTTCCCAGCATGAGAAATAAAGGGGTAGTCTGCAGAAAAAAAAACAACCTCTTAATTAAAAAGTTCGTTGATTTTTTTGTATATATCTAAGTTAGGGTACTTAAAGTAAAATATTAGCAAGCATCAGGGACTTTTTTTGAAAATATGGTTGCCATGGCAACAGCGGCCATCTTGAAAAATACCTTTTGTGGAGTTCTAAAATTTCATAAACTAACATATATATCGGCTATATAACCATTGATCCTTCTTGTAATAACACTATTAGAGTCAGCTGGCTAGTTTTTGTAAATGAAATCCCTCTAGAAATATCTTTTTGAATTTTCACAATTCAGCATGGTGAAATTACATTAAAATTAATGCTAAATTTAATGGTATTTCACCATATTTTTTTTTTTTAACATTTAAAAAAAAATTATTTCTAGCAATTTTTCACTTTTTTCCCCTGTTTTTTTTTTCGTAGCTATCCCCCTTTTAATAAACAATGTTTAACTGCAATATAAAGTACACTGCTCATAAAGATCGTGACTTACTCAGATTAACATTATTTGCCATCGAATGAATTTTGTAATCTGGTGCCAATCTAGTTTCAAAATGTATCTAAAATTCAGTAGAAAGTATAATATTAGTATAGTATCTGGGCAGTCGATAGACCACTATACTAGTATAAAAAATAAGAAACAAAGAAGAATAACTTTGATATTCAAAATTTAAAAGAATGGACAAGTTATCTTTCTTATGTGCAATATTTTCTTTTTTACTTTCTCGTATATACGAAGTATAGAGAAAGTATTGTAATCGTGCACAAAAATCATTTGAAATTTTAACAATTTTCACCGTATTACACCTCAGTCCTTCATCACATCCGAAGTATAGAGGACTTATTTTAATCGGGCAAAAATTATCAATCCAGATTTATCAAAATTAAGAGGTTTTATGCGTAATCCAGTCTGAAAAACTGGACTTTGCAATTCTGTCCGTATGTCTGTGTGTGTGTCTGTGTGTGTGTCTGTCCGTGTGTAAACACGATAACTTGAGTACCGTTACAGCTAGGTTGATGAAATTTCATATATAAGTATTTTATCAAAATCGTAGATCCGTATCAACTTTTGAGCGATTTCCGATAACCGGAAGTGGTACTTTTCCTACTTTGAATTTTTTAAAAGCCTATAACTTGAGTACTATTTCAGATAGATAAATGAAATTTCACATGTAAGTAAAAGATCTAATTCTCTACCTTCTGTTAAATTTTGAGTAATTTCCGTTGACTGGAAGTAGTAATTTACGCTACTTCCGATTTCTCAAAAAACTAATGTAAATTTTTAAAGTACTAATAATATTGCGCACTATTATACGCGTTTTTATTCGGCGTTTGCTTGGTGCGCAATGTTTTTTTTATGAGATTATATTCTATTTTTAAAAGTTTAAGTATTTAAAATGGATTAAAAATCATAACTATATCCCCAGTTACCATCCCCTGTTGTTTTATATAAGAATATTCGAGAAAGTTTAGGGGAGATCACTACCGGTTTATTTTAAATTATGTTTGTTCTTTTGGCGTTTTATAATCTGTAGTTTTTTAGTTTTCAGCAATACTATTTTAAAATGTTTAACGTTTACATTCAATATAGTAGGTCCTTAAGTGGCGTTACCCTATTTCAATCTGTTCGCAATTCACAATCTGTAGACTTTTCAATTAGGTTTTTAATGAAAAATTGAGGAATCAATTAAAACTGTCATAAAACTTTTTAAAACATAAAAATAATGTATGGGATTATTTCGTTGTTTTTTTTTGTTTGTTTTTATTTTTAGTAAAGAAGTCGTGCTAATACATTTGATGTGTTAGAAACTTGCGATTTTTGGTTCAGGAATAATGTTTAAACAGTTTATTAATAGCATCGAAGGCTGACAAGAGAAACACGCTTTAAGCGAAATGTGTTACAACAGGAAGTAATTTACTACTTAAACAATTTGCTTTCTCTTTAGATCCAACTCTCATATTTGTAATTTTGTAATCAGTAAGTCAAGTTCCCATTTTGAACGTAACGGTCGATGGGAGCACACTTTTATACGTTTTGTTTACATGATAATAATACTTTAAGGAATAATGCAAATAGTATACTAGTCTGCAGCTATAAGTGGTCAAATCAATACAGTGATGAGAAAAATCTCAAGAAATCGGAAACCGTTCTTCTACCCTAGAAAAAATAAATATGTATCTTCGTGTATTTTAATCGCGCTAAGGGCGGCTACATGCTTATATTGCTAGGTTTTGGTGCAACAACGTCCTCAAGATATGGATCAGAGTAGCGGGGGGTATCGTTGTTTTCGTATCCGCGTAGTAGAGGCGGTGTTGATTACCTGTGACGGAGTTGTCATATCCCACTATACAGGGGCGTTGTTGATTACCTGTGACGGAGTTGTCATATCCCACTATACAGGGGCGTTGTTGATTACCTGTGACTGAGTTGTCATATCCCACTATACAGGGGCGTTGTTGATTACCTGTGACGGAGTTGTCATATCCAACTATACAGGGGCGTTGTTGATGACCTATGTCCTTTTTTTTTTCATAATCATCTAAAAAAAAAAACAAAGAAGTAAATCGATATTATACTGCTCCAAAGTATATTTTAAAGTATACTTCACATATTATGTTTTACACAACCGACCTAAAGAATGTTTTACATACGAACAGAGACGGACAAATGGACGGACGGACAGACGGACAGACGGACAAACGGACGGACAGACGGGTAGACAGATTGGTGGTCGGTTGAAGAGAAGGTTAAACAGACTGACGGACGGCCCGATTTGCAGACAAACAGACGGACGGACGGACGGTTGCGCAGATTTATAGAAATAGACTTCTTAGTTTCACAAAATAAAATGTCCGTATTAATATTTAGACATAAGCAAAAAACTTGCAGTAGCAAAAGTAAATTGTTAAATATTGATATACGTTAGCAAAAAAATAGAGTCAACGTCTCAAGTACATATCATGTGTCACGTTGATCCGCATATGTGAAGAATCAATTGTAATCCCTTTAGTATGGTAAGCCGATTATATAAGAGTTAATCCTCGTGCAGGATATCGCGGGGAACATTCCACACGAACAATTTAGATTAACATTTTAAATCAATCAAAATCAAAACGCTATTTATGGTGCTTACTTAATTATCAAATAAGCATTGACTTTACAGATTATCAAGTGTATGCTTAAAAATATACTAAATACAAAGAAAGAAAGAAAATAATACGGAATTATCATGTCGCAATACTTAACACACTCGTCCAAGTCCTCTCTCAAACCCCACACACCAACCTACCGACAAACACCCTGGCACACGCTCTGTCACCTGTCAACTGACAACCCTCACCTGAACACCTCTCGCTCAATGTAAACACACGCAACCAAGGGCTACACTATATACAAAAAGTGGGTAACTGTCATTCGAGCACACAACACACACACAATCAGGGGACGCTACATGTCAGGGACTTAACGGTACCCACAACTTGTGGCCGGGATACAGCGCCATTTTTAGAAAGATTGAGGTTACAAAAATAAACATTAACCGTTTCATCTTTGGATAAAGGAAGAAAGAAAAATATACATTACACGTAAAGCCAATATTAAATATATTGTATTTAGAGAGACACTGCTTTTGACTGCAGACGTTAAGGCTTTTATAAGCCTTGCAATTGCTCCGATAGGCAAAAATGTGTAGCACACCCATAAATACACACGTGAAATGATTCCTCGATAAAGAAAATATCTACCTTTAGAAAACGTTTCGTCAATGTTGAAAGGTTTGCGAACTGAGGTATAAATCACGTCTTTACCTGTTATGGTTGTGAACGTAATATGTTTGATGTTAACTTTACGCTCGTACGACATAAAAACACAAACGCAAAGAAAACGGAGTTACATCGCAAGGTGGCTGCAAAAATGGTAGGGTTTACGAGATAGGTATCGCTAGATGGTCTGGATTAACGATGTAGTTTATTGTTCTTTTACGTGTGCATGGTGAAATAGAAACTCTGTCATACACAAGTTAAAAAAGAAAAAAAATGTGTAATTAGATATATTCAAGTATACTCCTTGTGCATACAATGTACATCCCTGATGAAGATACTCCCCGTATCTACACTCCCCTCATATATATAGCGTACTTCCCTTATGAATATAACCCCTTATATATACAACGTATTTCCCAGATGAATATACTCCCCTTTTATATACAACATATTTCTTTTATGAATATACTCCCCTTATATATGCAACATATTTCCATGATGAGTGTACTCCCCATATATATATATATATATATATATATATATATATATATATATATATATATATATATATATATATATAACGTATTTCCATGATGAGTGTACTCCCCTTATATATAAACATATTTCCCAGATGAATATACTCCTCTAATATATATAACGTAATTTCCCGTTGAATATACTCCCCTTATATATACAACGTAATTTCCCGTTGAATATACTCCCCTTATATATACAACGTAATTCCCTGATGAAAAGTCATATCATAAAAAACAGCTCCGTGAACCAAATTGTCAGTCAACCGGACCGTGACGATATAGATTCTACACAAGTAATTTTTTTTTTAATCCCTGCGTCACCGGCTCTGATAAAGTCTGCTAATCCAAGCAGACAGAGGCTAGGGGAAATAATCCAATACATCTTGGTGTCATGTTTCCTGACTTTTAAGACCAAACCTCGTCCAAAGTTAGGGCCGTTGTGCTTCAAACTGGAGACTGGAGTCAGCGAACATTAGTGTAGCGAGCAATGGCTCTATAGGACTTAGATCTTGTCATTGTGATAAGCAAGCAGTTGCTCTACACGAAGGTCGTGTCATTGCAGTGATCTAGTTTTACGTGTAGCCTCAAATATCTCTATTTACAGATGGTTAAGCTCTAAGTATCACAATAACACTGACTTTTTATAAGTGTGTTTTTAGTTACAGTGTCTAATATTTTCTCTGTTTGTTTGTTTGTTTAATGCTGAAAATGTTATCAATTAATTTTGATTTTCCTATAGGGCTGGTACGTAGGTCACCAACCAGTTATATGGCTCATGCAGGTTTTATTGAGTCGTAGAACTTACCAGCCCTATAACGCAGCGGTTTGTTTGAATTTTCCATATACACACGTCTCCGGTGACAGAGCAAGAATATTTTAATCAATTTTTTTAGTCATTAAAGTTTAATTAAAATACAAGAACATTCTTAAATAAAGGGATGATAATTATCTATATATATATATATATATATATATATATATATATATATATATATATATATATATATATATATATATATATATATATATATATGTAACGGGCGGACATTTATCCTGCCGACAACGCCAATTATAACGAGCCAACAGTTACTATGCTCGCACGCCACATGTAATGAGACCTAATTGTCTGTAGTGCCAAATGTTAACGAGTTCTGACCACTCATTCTAGACAACATCGACCACAGTATAGATACTCAAGATGCAGGTTCGCTATTGATCCTTTATTACATGAATCAAGAAATGTTTCATAATCACACAAGAAATCAACAGGAATGCTTCTCAATAATAGTCTGGATCAACTGACCCCCTAACAGTCCTCACTAGGCTTCGTATAACTGAATCCACATGTCTATAGTCCTTCTTTACACAATACGGCTAACCCGTTCAATAACCAACATTGATACTGTCACAACTAGCGGTGAAAAGAGAAGAGAGCGATCTCCGCCGTCCCCTCCTATTTATCCTTAGTATTCGTAGTCGTACTTGTCTCCATTTCCGTAATCGATACTTGTAATCGATGTATCCGAATACTAATGTCGCAGTTTCTGACGTACCGTCCGATTTACTAAAACATCTGCATCCCATCAATCAAAGTTGACAGCTCGTCTGAAACTTCTCGTACCGTTTCCCAAAATAGCACGCGTTGGCTTTGAGATTGTTATCAGTCCGATCCAATAAGCCACCTGTTATCGGTTGCATCAGACTGCGTCTCGGCTTCTCGTTCGTTATCAGATTTGTAACTAGTAGTTAGGCCTACCCTAGTTACATCCACCCCTGCTTTTTTTTGTGTGTTTTCAACCACAAACAACGCCTGGCAGGTGCACTCCTCCAAAGTCAATCGCACAATCGTAAAAAAATTTTACTGTTCCACTCACTGTCCACGACGTCCCATTCGTATACGATTGACAGTTATACCTATTTCACATATCAACTGTGTCTACATCGTCTTCCTGAGACACAAAACAGTTCTAGAATTCACATCCACCCTTTTCGTTTGGTGCCTTCACCAGTTCAGTTCTATAGCTTTTTTGAACCGTCTGTTCTCATACCAGCGCGACCATGAAAGACTTGATGGTTGCTGACAAAAAATTTCGTCTTCCTTCTGTTCCTCAAACTTCTCCGCGGACCACTTATCTGATGGTCTACTGTCTCTCTGCTTCTGGAAGGAACGGGATCCTCTTTGTTGCCGTTATCCTCCACTTGTATATCGCGGTTGTTCTGTTGATGGTGACATTGTTTCGGGATGGGTATGTGAATTTCCGTTGTAACTTCCGGTTCCCTAATTGTCTTAGGTTTCTCTATGTGTAACTGCTCTTCTTGCCTATTCCAATATTTCTTTAATTGAGCAATATTCGCCCACCGATCCGGTTTGGCGTGATCGATGGGTCTTATCTTAAAGGGGCCACCTGCTGCTTTAGGCATCTCCACGACTTGCCATATCTCCTGTCCCCAGAGGTCGTGGATCTTGTTTCTGCCTAACGGGTGGCTACGCAGTAATACCCTGTCGTTCAGTTTGAGTGGCGGGTCCTTTGTCTGTACCGGCGGTTCCCTTCGCCGAGCTTCATGTTCTAGTCTTTCCTGTACTACCCTGTACATTTCTCTAATTCTTCGCATATGTTCATTCACATATTCCAGTGCGGTGTATGAGCCAGTCATACTCTCCCTTTTTCCTAGGAACAAATCAAGAGGGAGTCGAGCCTCCCGTCCGAACAGCAACATGTGTGGCGTAAAGCCGGTCGTGGCATGGGGGGTGCAGTTGTATAGATATACCAACTCTGGGAGAAAATCCGGCCAACGTTTTTTCTGTTCAGGTTCTAGGGTACGCAGCAAATCATGCATGCTGCGGTTGAACCGCTCACACTGTCCGTTTCCCTTCGGATTAAATGTGGTTGTTCTAGATTTGTTGATCCCGTAGTGGCTGCACAGTTGGTTGATTACTTCTGACTCGAAGGCCCTTCCTTGGTCAGAGTGTAATTGTCTTGGTATGCCATATTTGATGAACCAATGTTCTATTAATACCTTTGCCACTGTTTTGGCAGTCTGATCTCGTGTGGGCACCGCCACAGTCCATTTGGTGAATACATCAGTCATTACCAACACATGTTCCGTCCCATCCGATGATTGCTCCAACGACGTAAAGTCCATAGCCACAATCTCTAGTGGTTTTGTCGCCAGTAGGTGTCCTGATGGCTGTCTCATTTTGACAACTGGCATTTTCGCATGCTGACACCTCACACAAGCCT